GACAAGACAGTGCGAGTGTGGGAGACGGCGACGGGCACGGGTCGCAGCGAGCTGAAGGGCCATTCACGCGCTGTCAATGCGGTGGTGTTCTCGCCAGACGGACAGCTGCTCGCCTCAGCATCCTGGGACACGACAGTGCGAGTGTGGGAGACGGCGACGGGCACGTGTCGCAGCGAGCTGAAGGGCCATTCACGCGCTGTCACAGCAGTGGTGTTCTCGCCAGATGGACAGCTGGTCGCCTCAGCATCTTACGACGAGACAGTGCGAGTGTGGGAGACGGCGGCGGGCACGTGTTGCAGCGTGCTTGACAGCTCATCGGTGTTCATAGATCACCTCGCTTTCTCGCCTGACGGTCAGGCCCTGCATACCAACAAAGGAGACATTCTACTCCCTGCATCTCTAAATCTGACGCCACCTGTTGAGCAGGAAGAGCAATCTTTGCAGCTCTCAGTAGAGGGCCAGTGGGTGTTCCGCAGCACGCAGCGCTTTCTGTGGCTGCCGTTCGAGTATCGGGCATACAACTTGGCAGTATGCAAGGACATGGTCTGTCTTGGGTGTCCATCTGGGCGTGTGACTCTGCTTAGACTGCGATAGAGGCGTGCGCAGGGGCATGCGGTCGTTTGCAGTAGCGTGCACCCAAATGCATGAAAGTTTCAAATGCAACATCAAAGACGCGAATATAGATTGCGCAAACGGTTGTTGCAATGATACATACATCAAGCTTAAGCTGTACATAGTGTTCCTTGGCGTTGCTAACTAAATTACACCTCTGTAAACAGTGAATAGCTACTAACGCTTAAGGCATATACGTGAGAAGGGAGACGACATAAAATGATGTTGTTCGCAAAGCAAAGCTCCAGGATTTCCAGAGTTTCATGCGTGCCGAAGCCATCACGGATAAGGACGCGTGGCTTGTTATTAGCTCGTTCCTTGGTCTCTGGATCAAATATGCGTTGAAGCCATTGCAAACTGATATAGGAGTCGGTGTATCCAGTCTGAGAGCACGCGTACCGCCACCCGGGGGTGGGAAATGTGGTCCAGTTGGTTCGGTGAGTCATAGCTGGCCATATGATCATAGGGTTCAGATACCTACCGTCGCCACTGATACACTCAATCGCGGTGACCATTTTGCGCGCACCTCTGTAGTCTCGCGTGTCGTTCTTACCTACCAACACTTTCACCGCGCCTAGCATCGAGAGCATAATGCCAGTCTCGTCCATGTAACTCGAACACCGATGTTCACCTGCAGCTATTGCGAGTCTTTGGAACTGCTCTCGCAATCCCTGCACTGAGTCTCTCTGATTCCTGTGCTCAGAGGCCACCTTATACCACCAGTTGATGATCCGCCGTATCTCAAAGAGTGTGGAATGCTTTTTCTGTTCAATGTTCTGTAAGTTACTCAACATGGTCCAGGGAGGAGCTGGAGAATGCCCTGCGTCGCCAAGGCTTTTTTTCGCAGCCAAGAATATGCAGATCTACACCAATTTGTTACAGATACTGGACCAGGGCCATTTGGAGACTCACAATGCGTGGAAGGCTCGTATGGATTAGGAAGCGGTTCTCGAAGCCCGACCAGATATTCGATGGAAGTTCGCGTGGGAAACTACAAGTCTTCAAGGTACAGTTAGAGTACGACTCGAACACCGGGTGGAGCAAATGTTCGATCGAAGCCTTACAGCGAATCCTAGGCGCAAGTCGTTCATGGATCTACCGGACGAACTGCGCAACTTGGTGTAACGGTTCACCCTGTTAAAAGACGGTCAGCGCTGGAGGATTGACGCCAACAGATCTGGCCAGCTCATTGCCAGAAGCCCGGACTCTACGCTTGATCAGAACGGGGATTCTACTACGTCCATACAGTCTCTATGTTGCAGATGATGGCTGCCATGAACAAGCAAATCAAGGAGGAAAGCCAGAGCTTCTTCTGATCCCATGCCGATTATAAAACTTGCAGCTTGTAACGCTTCCTAACCGCACTCAGTCGAGACTCCAGGGCCTCGCTTTACAGATTCAAGCCACGGTTCAGCGACGCCGACATTGAGGTGGTGCGACCGACACACCTGCCAGTATTTTTAAGGGCTCCTTCCGGATGCGTTAACCTCACTTGCCTCGACATCGATCTGGCGCTCGATAATCTGTTCTGTGACGCTACACAGAGCGTCTGGGACTTCTTAGATCAGGCCGTCCCTAAGGAGCACGAATCTCGATACCTTAGCACAGACGATCTCGAAGCTTCCTAAGCTCGAGAAGGTTCTGATCAGGGGGCAAGCCTTCGCTGCCTCTCTTTATTGTTTCTCTGTAGAGCTCAAGCCTAACCTCGCATACACTGGAAAACGTGCAGACCTACTGTGGAGGGAGGTCATGAGGCAGGTTAGTGCAGCTGCGAAGGACAAACGGCGCGATATAAGAGCTATTGCGGAAAGAAATGGATTGGACACTGAGGCATCTATCCGCCTACAGTGCACTGTCAACTATGATCCTAGGGATCCTGTGGGAGACACCGAGACGATAAAGTACAAGGTATGGTATAAGACGCTTGCGTCGTGTCTGTAGGGGAGGGTATTCGCTCGGTTGCAGATGCGTCTCCGTGAGGCCCTGGGCGTAGATAATACCAAAGCCTCCCTAAAGCAGCTCGTAGTGTATTCAGTCGGTTTGAGATTTATTGCTTGAAGGCGGATGTCAAGGCGTTGACGAGGTCACGTAGGCGACACATGAAGCAATCGATAAGGCGGATGACGTCATACGGAACACATCAACCTACGCAGTGATCCATTCTGTGAAGTCCAAATGCTCAATTGTGTCCGACGGCACACTGCAAAAGCAACAATGAAGCTCGATCCTGCTGTTCTGAAGCTGCTACAGCTTGACGCTGACACCACGTCTGTCTCCTCTGCTGGTGGAGGAGGCTGCAGCTCTGCGTCGACCTCGAAGATCATTTCCAAGCTCAACGATGGCACTGAGAAGGCCTTCTTTATGAAAACCGGTAGCGGAAGTGCCGCTGAGATTATGTTCGAAGGTGGGAATACCATTATCCAGACAGAACACGAGTTGGATGGCTGATAGATCTTTGAAGGCGAACATGCATCGCTCAACGCGATCAATGCCGTCGTCCCATCACTATGTCCACAATCCTTCGGCCATGGGAAGTTCGAATCAAACCCAAAAACGTCATTCCTTGTGACAGAATTTTTGCACCTCACCGGCCGTTCGTCCTTGAAGGGAAAAGCACCATCTCTAGCACACAAGCTGGCGAAACTACACACAACGCCAGCGCCAACACCAGATGGCTACGACAAGCCAATGTTTGGCTTCCCTTCGACAACTTGCTGTGGTGACACGCCTCAAGATAACAGCTACAAAGGGAGCTGGACAGATTTCTATGCCGAGAATCGATTGCGCTTTATTCTACGAAGAGGCGAGAAGGCCCAGGGCTCAGATAAACAATTTCACAATCTCGTCGAAGCCACCGCATCACAAGTCGTGCCTCGTCTGATAGGTGACGACCACCTCAACAACGGAAAGGGGGTGACACCAGTTGTTGTGCATGGTGATCTCTGGAGTGGCAATGCAAGTGTTGGCATCATTGGCAGCAAAGAAGGTGAGCCAGAGGATGTAGTCTACGACTCGTCTGCTTGCTACGCGCACAGCGAGTTTGAGCTCGGTATTATGAAGATGTTCGGTGGCTTTGGTGGTAGCTTTTTGAAGGAGTATCACGAGCTTTGTCCGAAAACAGAACCGGTCGAGGAGTATGAGGACCGAGTAAAGCTATACGAGCTCTATCACCACCTGAACCACTGGGCAATGTTTGGCGGTGGGTACAAGAGCGGTGCGGCGAGCATCATGAAGTCACTGGTTAAGAAGTACGGAGGAGAAGGCTGAGGCATGTTGTGGGTGCTGCAAGCGTGTGGCATTGACTCGTCAAGATATACTCGTGAATGTACGGACCCCTGATCCTGCAGGCTATTCATCCGTGTATCGTACCCTCTTCCCCAACCGCCTTCCGAATCCATAGAGCCTAAGAAAGCCCAGCAGCCTGGATGGCGAATGTAGCAGCAGAGTCAGCAACGCTGCCGTAGCTGAGATGACTGCCAGTGGCGCCACCATCACCGCCTCCACCGCAGATGGTGTCGGAGGTACCGCAGAACTGCTTGACCTTGTCGGTGGACATACCAGGGAGAGCCTGACTCTTCAATGGGTCGCCGAACATGACGGCACCTGCGACGTTGGATGCAGAGACACCGTTGGAGAAAGCGTTGTGGACGACCATACCGCCCTGACTGTAGCCAGAGACGATGACCTTGGTGCCAGGGCACTGCTTGAGTGCCTGCTGGACGTACTGAGCCATCACCTTTCCTCCGTCACCACCCAGATTGGCGTTACCCTAAGCGCCATGTCAGCTTTGTAACTCGTTTGTGTAGATGCATTACTTACAGCAGCAGAAGCCGCGTAGTCAACACCCTGGACAGTGACCCTGTCGGCACCGAGCTTCGACCTGATAGCCTTGACCATAGGTGGGCCGGAGATGGTACCCATATTACCCAATTCTCCGGTTCCACGAGCAAAGATGACGGTCATGTCAGTGCAGCAGCTGCCACCCTTGACACCGTTCTCAGAGCTACCTCCTCCACTGCCTCCGCAGCTGGCGCCGTTATTAGTGTTTCCACCAGTGCTACCTCCAGCAGAGCCAGTGCTGGTGGGCACAGCACTACTAGCAGTGGGAGTTGCAGTGACTTGGACATCGGATGATCCACCAAGACCTGAACCAATGCCACCGAGGCCAGAGCCGAGTCCACTGCCCAAACCTGACCCGAGACCAGATCCAAGACCAGCACCGCCAGTGGCAGCAGGAAAGCTGGGGATGCTGAAGCCGCTGCCCAAACCTGAACCAAGGCCGGATCCGCTGCCACCGAGACCACCGAGGCCAGATGGCATAGAAAAGGAGGGTAAGCTGAACGAGGGCAAGCTGAACTGCGGGTGAGGCAGAGCATTGGCTGCGCCAGCCAGAACGATGACGGATGCGGTGGTGTACTTCATGTTGATGACTTGATGCTTGATTGAAGTCGAAAAGCGAAAGTCTGGATGTTTGATAAACGAAAGTGTAGTCGATGAAGCGAAAGCGAAGGTGAGTGCACAGCACAGCGAGAGACGAAGAGAACGAGTGAAGAAAGCCGACGATGCGATGCGATGATTCCATACTGGTGATGTTCTCAAGCTCTTATATGCTTACAGCCTCATCTACAACCTTGATGTAATCTCACATCAACACAGGCTCGACACCCGAGTAACGGCTGATCATGCGAGTTTCGAAACAGAACGGCATTGTTTCTTCTGGAAATGAACTTGTTTTGATGAAAGGCGTGTCACAAGTCGCAGAGAGACTTTCCGAGGATGGCATGAACCAAGGAGTTTTTTTTTGCTCGAGTCGTTCTTTTGCAGAAGCACAGTCCCGCTCGGCTCTATTAGCCCATGTCTAGGCCCTCGGAGATCAACTCAAGGAACGGGAAGGTCGGCGCGAGCATCATGGTCCAAGACCCATGATGTCCTTCAATTCCTGAATGTGGGGTGTTGTGTTGCTTTTGCACGTTGCATAGGTGAGATGGGTCCGCCAATCCCAGTCAACGCTGCGACAACCGAGGATTTCAGCAAGTGGATAGGAGTAGCGAGTTTCACCACGACCCTCGTGCAACAATGTCAAACAACGTCACAACGGTCAGCGTGGAAATAGAGTTTGAGCGGGAGAGCGGCCACCAATGAAAATCTAAACTTGATTCGAAGTTCCGAGGCTGACATGGGGATGTTCAGAAACACCTTGCTTCTCGAAACCACCCTCCCATGCGGATCGGGAGTGCGAGTGCGGCTGTGGGACGCATGTTGCTGACTTTACCTCGCAGTAGCAGCCTCCACTTCTTTTGAAGCATCATAGCCGTACAGCCATGGCTGAACCTCTGGGCATGTCCACCGACTTGGGAAAGCCCCTTGCAGCTCCTGACCCAGCTGTCTTATCATTCGCTGGTCCCGCTCTTCCTGCTCATGTCCATCACGCATGTGGAAGTCCTTGCGCTGCTTGAACGTCTCTCTAACAATGCCTTCGCCTCTTGCCTTCCGTAGCTTTTCAAACTTCTTCAGTGAATCCGGAAGCTGTGCCTTGTCGGTGAAGTGCTTTGGTCCCAACAGCAGTCCAAGCACAGCGCCATCCTCGATCGACGAATTCGCGCCTTGCGCCAAGTACGGAAGCATGGGATGACAGGAGTCTCCGATGAGCACAAGGTTTGACTGTGGGTTGATCCACGAAGGCAGTTCCTCCCGGTGCATCAGCTTCCACTTGTCGACCTTGTCAACACACTCGAGGAACTCGGTCAACCTGCCAGTGATGAGCTCACGATGTCTCAAAGGGACGGCACAACTTACACTGGATCCCATCCCTCAAACAGCTTCCTCATCTCATCGAGATCGCCCTCTGTCCTCGCAACACCTTCTTCGAGATCGTCCGGCACGAGAAGTACGACATTGTACATGCTCCCGCCACGCATGCTGTATGCAACCACATGCGAATCTGGGCCTGCCCAGAATCGACATGTGGGATTCTGCACCATATCTCGCAACTTTTGGCTCTTGACTTGATCGATATTCAGCACGATCCGGTACGCCAAATCACCGGTTGGCAGCGGAGGGTCCCTCTTCCCTAACATGGTGGACCGGCACGTTGACCAAAGGCCATCTGCACCAACAACTAGATCTGCATCGTACGTCTTGTCACCCACAGTCACCTTCGCTCTGTCTCCTGTCTTCGACCCAAAATCTATTCCTGTGACTCGGGCATCGAGGACGACTGTGACACCCAAATCCCTTGCCCTCTTTACAAGCGCCTGCTGCAGGTCCACACGATGGCAATCCGAAAACGGCGCTCCGTATTTCCGTCTTATGTTGACATCGAAATTGTCCTCGTTTGCCAGTACTCTGCCCTTGTAGTTGTACACCGTGAGGGTCCTTGGCTCGCATACGAGTGATTTTAGTGAGTCGTATACACCCCAATCTTGGAAGAGGCGTGTGGCGTTTGGTGTAAGTTGCAGTCCAGCACCAACTTCAGCAAGCTCCTTTGCGCTCTCTAGCACGGTGACCGAGTGTCCCGAAAGTGCACATTGAATCGACGCTGCGAGGCCGGACAGACCTGCACCAACGATGAGGATGTCGAGCTTTTGTGACATTGGCAGGTTGACTGTGCGTTGATGATTGATTGATCGATCTCTGAGTTGAGGTGGGGTATAAGATGCAGTTGCTGCGGGGAGATTGAACAATGGAGGAAGGCACGACGCGTAACTATTTGCTGTGGCGCGTTACTTCATTTTGGCTGTGCACCGGGTCTCAAATCAACCACCGATCAGCCGTACCTTCAGCCCGAGCTTCGTGTACCGAGTTTGTACGTTGCGATGCTGGCTGTTGGTTGTTCCGTTGTACGAGCTGGAGTACGAAATCTGGGGCATGCGGGGCAGGGTTCTCGGCCTCAGTTTACGGCTTCTTGTGACGCCAACCGCATTGGGACGTAAGCGGATCGGACCGCCTGACTTGATATATATATGTATTCAGCTACTGCAAGCTATATCACTTCGTTGTTCGATCTCTGTTTATTTTGCCGGTGTGTTGGGTCCGTGACTGTGGTTCAAGTTGTCCTTCCGTATCCTCACAAGCCTTCAGCCACTGGTCGATGTTAGGCCATTGCTTTCCATTCGTACCCAGGTCTCTAGCGATGGTGAATTTCGCTGAGAAATGCACCATAATATCTGCGTCTGTAGGGTAATCACCGATAAGGAACTCGCCGGGAGATAATGAGAGCTCGCTCTCCAACCACGACATGTCGTTTTGAACGTTGACAGACATTCCTTTTTCGGCTGCTTCAACAAACGTTGCTTCGGCAGCGTGAACCCATTGTAAGACCTTGATCTTCTCTTGTGCACCCTTGGGCACCAAGTTTCCTTCCTTGTCGTACTTGTCACACAGGTAGCTGGCAAATGTCAGTAACAGAGTACGAGCTACAACATAGGAAGACTGATATCCTTACTCGCTAATAGCACTCTCGTAGACCACGAGGTCACCGTCTTTGACGGTTGGGAATTTGCCCAATGGGTTACCAGATCCAAGCTTGAAGTCTTCAGGTTCCTTGTAGGCTGATGTAGGTCAGAGAACTTGACTTCGTAATCAAGACCCAGCTCCTCGAGCAGCCGGGCTGTTTGGATGGAGCGAGACGTTTGCAGGAACCAAAGAGTAATGGACGGCATGATGGTAGCAGTGATGTTGTGAAGAGTCGAGGAAGTCGAAGCCGCTCAGGAGACCGAAATGTTGTCGTATGAGCCAGGAGTGCTGTTGTGTCTCTAAGCGCCTCTAGAGATGGGTTGTGGCGTCATATAAACGTTGCGGGGTTGATCCCGGCGGGTGAGGGACATCGCATGAAAGGGCCCAGGTACATTTCGTTTTGGTGATAGCCGACCAGTAGTTATCATCTTGTTCACTCGACTTTCAGTTTTCGTGTCGATGTTGGTGATCGTTGTTGATTTCGCTTATTTGTGCTTCTTCAATACGAAGCCGTAGTACTCGAAGCTACTGTCACCTCCACCCAAAATGTCCATCTCGTAGTCCCACTCATTATCGCGATTCAGAATGGGTTTGATGAAGTGAGGTTGTCGGTAGGTGATGTATAGGAAGAAGCCATCCTCTTTCAGAACTCGTTGGACCTAGCTTCGTCAGACCACTGAGTGCATTACAGAAGCAATGCCATTTGCTCACCTCCCTCATGTACTTTCCACTATTCTCCAAGGTCTCTTCTGGTGGACTCCATGGACTACCGAAGATCATAGCATCCAATGTGCCCTTGTCGAAGGCGACATCGATGCTACCGGATTCAACATCTTTCATGTCTCTGACGTCGCCCACCTGGAATGTGACGCCTCGTTCAGCTTCGTGACGAGACTTCATCAAATCCACTACAACAGCAGAAAAGTCGAGGCATAACTGGTTATCGTATCCTCTCTTCAAGAGATCGTATGGTACAGTCTGTAGGTTCGTCAATCAACACTAAAGCGCAACATCCGGTAGGCCACAAACACTATCTCCGCTCCCAAGATGCAGAATCTTCGGTTTTGTCTCTGGCATTCGGGTTGCGAACAAATGTCTTTCAAAGAACGGCTCCAGAGACGCAAAGTCACGAAACCACTCATGGGTAGGTTCAGTGCTGTCGCCCGCCTTCGAGTATCGCTCGTCCCAGAAGGAGGCATAACCCAGTGCAGCACCTTCGTCTGTTTTCGGCATGATGATATGATCTGATTTGATTGTTGCAGGTTGCTGCTTCGAGGTTGCAAATTTGGCAAGACCAAAAGGTCTGTGCGCGACTGCCCCTTCAAGCGACTTGCACCTGCTTCACGTTGATGGCAGCTTCTCAATCATCAAAACTTGACAGCTCATCAGTCTCAGAGTATCATGAAGATCTCAACACACTGCAGTTATCTTGCACGAAGCGCAGCCAATGATGAGCGTGCCATCGACTCGGTATTTTCGAGCCTCGGCTTGGTCCGATGTCATGAGCCTCGTGTGGGGTAAACACGGTGCGGGCGCGTGAGGATCAACGCGCGATTCCAAGTCGACCTCACCATGATCCATTGAGTTCTGATTTTGTTTCCTTCGAAACTTCAACTCAATTTTGCCCACCATGGCACCAACAGAACGATCTATCCTATTCCACTACCCCCAGTCCATCTACTCTCACCGTGTACTATGGTATCTCTGGCTTCGTGGCGTCGAGTATGATGAGTGTGTACGTTGTATTGTTGGCTGAGCTCGAAATTATGGCTTTGCTGACTGGCGCAGATACAACCACCAGTCATGCCGCGACCAGATCTGGCATCGATTGATGTAAAATACAGGCGCATACCCATAATGGCGATAGGGAAGGATATATACATCGACTCTCGTCTCATCATCTCCAAGCTTGAATCTCTGTATCCCGACAGCACCTTGGCAGCAACAACAGCCGAGCAGGCTGGATGTAGGAAGCTCCTTGAGACCTACAGCGATAGCAGCCTCTTCAATAATGCCGTCAAACTCATGCCATACTGGTCATCCAATAGCTTAGTGCAGAACAAGACGTTCCTCGACGACAGGCAGAAGTTGATGGGTGGGAGGCGCATGACCGCTGAGAACATGCAAGCCGGCCGGCCTGAGGGCCTGCAGAATATGCGGCAGGCATTTGAGTTGATGGAGAACACCTTCCTGGCAGACGGTAGGCAATGGATCCTAGGCACCGAAGGACCAACTGTTGCAGACATTGACGCCGTGTGGCCTTTCGAGTGGCTGGCTGTGGATCGAGGCATGAAAGGAGCGTTGCCTGAAGAACAATTTGGCGAGAAGAGCTACCCGAAAACGCATACATGGATTCGACGATTCATGAGCGAGATTCAGATCGCGAGAGGAAAGGCCGCAAAACCCACCGCACTTGACGGTAAGACAATGAACACACGCATCTTGGACACCACCTCACCTACGGAGCCTCTAATATTCGACCACAACGATCCCCTCGGCTTCCAGGCCGGTGACACAGTCGAAATCTGCCCTTCAGACTACGGCCAAGCGCACAAAGACCGCGGTATCCTCGTCGGTCTCACAGTATCTGAAGTCGTCATCTGCAATAGCAAAGGTCTGCACCTGCACTTCCCGCGCTGGAATTTCCGCATTACGAACGTCGCACCTACCTCAACCTCACCATCACCCAGCAGCGCGAAGAAGATCCCCAAGATGCGACTCATATACCACCCTTTCTCGCCCTTCACCCGCAAAGTTTTTATGCTAGCCCACGAATTCGGTCTTGCGCAACACATAACCCTGGAAAAGGTTGTCGTAGCGCCGATCCCAATCAAGGGCTGGAGCGATAACAATGAGGATGTCGCGAAGTTCAATCCAATGGGTAAGATACCTTGTCTGGTCACGGAAGACGTACCTACGGGCATCTCCGACTCGCGGGTAATTTGCGAGTATCTCAGCGAGCTAGCGGGCGTGAATGCAAAGGAGGATCAGAGGTACTGGCAGTTGAGGGCCCTGCATGCATGTGCAGACGGGATCATGGATGCGGCGGTGCTCATAACGTACGAAGTGCGCATCAGGAAAGAGCGCGGGTTATACTTCAAGGAGTGGGTTGAGGGCCAGAAGACGAAGATCTTGCGAGGACTGGACCGGTTTGAGGCTGCGGCAAGGGAAGGTGTACTGCCGGAACCTGGTAATGGGCCAGCGTCGGTTGATGAGGTTGCTGTGGCTGTTGCGACGGCTATGACGGAGCACATAGTTTTCCTAGGCCTTGAGTGGCGGAAGGGAAGACCGAAATTGGAACAGTGGTTGAAGCAGTGGGAGAGGAGGGCGAGCTTCGTGAGCACGCCACCAACGAAAGATTGGGTTGTCGAAGGTACTGCGGGGAGCGTTCCAAAGCTCTAGTGCCAAATAGCTGTAAAAGTATTGTATTCATCCAAATAACTGGCATTGTTTCAAGATAGCTGTGCAGCGAGATTAGAGTGCTTCCACGCTCCAACCATGGGTCTATTCAGGCTCCACCGCCACACTGTTGTCTGCGCCCTGCAAAACCTCGACTTCCAATTTCGGAACAATAGCAAATATGCAACTCCGAATACCCGGTAGGGTTTTCTTCCACCAAATCTCCTCTCCAGCCGTGGTGGTCGTGATCACCACTGCACACAGACACTTCTGCCTATCTTGAAAGTTGTGGATACCTCGGCGCAAGAACTCGATGTTAATGAAATCCTTGCCATGCCTCTGAACCACCTCCACAATAATGTCGTGGATCTCGTTCTTCTTTAAGATAAAGTCGTGGTGCGGATCCACTTCGTACATGTTAAGGTCCGTCAAAGCGCGATAGTGGATGACCTCGATCAACGTGTACCTTGTACTACCATCTTTCATGAGAACTTTACAGCTCTCAACAATTGCTCTCTCAACGTCCGTCCTCTGACTATTACCCATATTCACCGTGACCACAAGTGTATGGCTGTTGAACATGCGTTGCTGCTCAGACTCTCCTGCAACTTTGTACGGGTGCAGAACGCGAAGAAAACCTTGAACCACTTAACGTGACACCTTGTGAATACTCTTTCCACTAATTTGACTATGGAAGCAGGATGCAGGACCTGAAGGTCTGCACGTGGTTGCTGGGTTCGGAGCGGCAAAGGGGGTAACTGAGGCCAGCCTGCTCGGTAGGAGAGGTTGCGGGCGCCGAGCTCGTTCGTGATGGCTCGTTGAGATTTGGAGGTATACTGGGTGTTCGGGTGGACGTTTGTTGACGGGGTTTTGGATACCGTATTCGAAGCTCGTTTTGCCGTCTTTGCACGTTGTTCTTGGAGGCTGTGTGCTGATGCTCAACGTGAGGCCATATATGGTGTTGTCTCAGGTTACTGAAGATGCCGAACGTCAGGGAACAAGCGGCATTGTATACTTCAACAGCTTTTTCCTAGAGAAACATTTGTGCCACCATATTTGGTTCGAGAATTACTTTTGCTAATGAATGATTTTTATTCAGTGTTTGAACCATGGGTCGTTGAACCAGGATTGAAGCGGTTGCCTGGCGTGGTGAACCAAGATACCAAATCCTTTCAACGAGGGTCTAATTTTCCAACATCAAGAGAGTGCGCTGGCGTAACGCTACTACGATACATTCTTTCCTTGTGTGAGAAAATATTGTTGGTAGGTCCTGTAACAGGTGTAAAGTTTGTAGTTCAGCAGACTGCTATTATCAAACTCATCTTGTCACCTGTCCGCAGATCTTCAGGTAAAGGCAATACCCAGTCTATTCTGGAGACATCCAGGCTACTACAGGAGCCCCAAAAATGACTGCTAAGAGGATACTGCCTGACAAAGTCTACTGTAGTGTTGTAGTGGCATGCTGCAGACTCTTTGCCACAGATTTTCTTGAGAGTGGGAGAGACACTTAGACAGACCACCAGGATCTGAAGCCATCATGCGGCGATAGCCGATTTCAACAATGGCGGAGGAATATTGTAACATGTATGCATCCAGCTGGCTGTACCAAATTTCCGTATCGACGGAGTGGGTATTACCGGTTCAGTTCGTTTCCGTAGCCATGGCAAGATGACATGCATGTCAGCCGGCACGTGTGGCTGCTGACTGTTTTGAACATTGCACAACGTGCTTCTCAAAACACATGAAGTGCTTCTTGAGCTGGTCTGGTGAATGAATAAAGCTAGCAGATCACGAAAGCTTCTGCGGGCCACCTTGGAAGGGGCAAGTGACACGTGCTCGTGGCGGGTGGATGAGGGCCCCAGAACTTTGTCCAGGTGCTGAAAGGCATAAGTGGTCTGAATCGATGGACCTATGGCTGCGTGCTCTGAAAATACTGCGACAACATTCCAGACTCGGTAAATAAATCGCAGGAAACGTGATGTACTGGTCTGTATAGGCTGTCCCGCAATGCAGATGCTTCTCGCTTCGCACAAGATCTGTGTGCGACTCCTCAAGGGTAGGCACAAGTACCAATCTAATTCGTAGAAAAACACCTGATGGGTGACTGAGTACGCTGTCGTCAGCCGTAAGCGAGTACCGGCAGTTCGTCTTCAGGTACGGCGTGGCGGGAGATGTATCCTAGGGCTTACAAGTAGTATGCAACAGGGCCCTGCCAGGTAGCAACTTTGTCAGTCGACGTGCATTTTGTACAACTCACTACTCAGTAGATGCAGCTCTGGGGCATGACTGGCTGAAAGGAAAATGTTATCATGAGCTCCAAGCGGCTTAGTGCCCAAAATGAGCACCGTTTGAGAACTCAAGAGTATACCTCCTCTCCCACGTGCATGAGAACTGTAAAGTCTGATTCGTCATTTAGGCTGATTGCTGCTCCGCGACGAAGATGTGTCCCATAGATGGCCGCCTGATTACAGTGCGCTAAATGACATTGCGGCGTTGTCGCCGATTGAACACTTCGATCGGCGTAGTTTGGAGCGTATGGTCGAGAGACTGTGACTGGACTGAGACTGTAGTAGTGAAAGATGATGATACATCGAGAGCGAATTGCGGCTCTACTATCCCACTGCTTGTGTTGGCAGGCGTGATGATGCAAATGCGGCTAGCGCTGACGATACTGAGCAGCCACAGGTAGGTGTGTGTGATATTTGTCTGATTTCCACATGGGCATCGTGAAGGGAACAGAGCTGGAAGCTGAACGGAATTCCTCAAGCTGATGCATGGAACAGTCGAAGCCTTATTGCTGACTGCACAGTGAGTTGTTGCTGTCTCAAGAATGCTGTCTACAGCTCTTATCCATGGCTGAAATGATTGAAGTGAGGCCATCACCATCTGTCGTAGAGAGAGACTCGTAGGTACTGCTGGAGATTCGTAGTCAAGTCATGCATTCAGTCTTTGGTGTTGATGGATGAAGACCTCGCGGTATGATGATGTTGATGGAGTGCATAATCGTGCACGATGGCTAGAAACAAATGGGCCGATTCTGCAAAGAATGCATCGTGTATAAGCCTGCCACAGCTGCAGCTCCAGGTTTAAAGGAAGCAGCGCCGGAGTCGTCATGGCGCACATGTTGCCTTGCAAAGTGTCGGCCGCAGCCGTTGGCAGGGATTGGAAGATGGCGGTGCCCTACGGGCTGCATGTTGGGCTAGCGCGTTGCCTTAGGTTTGGGGCGTTATAGCGGGAGTGAACGTGCACCTCTGAGGTCGACGGATACCCATGTGTATAAGGTCCAGATCTTCAGCTGTCAGCACTCTGTTAGACAGTCGTGTTCCACTTCCCAAGTGCCCTCTTCAACTCAAAAACTTGATCTTGTGAATACACCACGGTACTGCCGAGTCCTCAACGCACCTCAAATCTCAAAGATCTCGAATCATACCAACGTCAATCAGCACCCAAACGTCGCCATGGACTACAGCTTTTACGGCGCTTCGCAGCAACCCTACCACTACCTGGGCATGTCGGAAAATGCCTATGGAAACACCGGAATTGATCTGGAAGCAATGCGCAGTGGGGTGAGTGCTGTGCTGCAGCCATGCAGTACTTCGCGGCCCCGCACGCCGCCAATAGTGGGCAACCCTGTCTGACCCTGCCTTCACAGGAACCTCTCGATGCAGGTCTGTTCTCAGGTACCTACGATGCCTTCGCTTTTCACGGCTTGCCGACCCCGCAGCACGGTGGCTCGCCAGCCAACGCCATACAGACCCCTCATCCTCTACCAACAGCCGGTAGCGTGGATTCCGGGCTTGGTGGGGAAATGGACGATGGCGGCGTGAGCAGAGCACGGAGCAGCAGCGAAGAAAAGGAGGCAAACCTCACGCCTGCGCAGAGCAGGCGGAAGGCGCAAAACAGAGCAGCGTACGTGCCTTCCCGGTGGTAGTCAAGACGTTGCTGACCCCTGAGGTAGCCAGCGCGCCTTCCGCGAACGCAAAGAACGCCATGTGCGCGACCTGGAAGCCAAACTCAACGCCCTCGAAAACAACAGACACTCCCTTCAATCAGACAATGAGCGCCTGAAGCTGGCGCTGCAGCGCGCCCGCACCGAAAACGAGATCCTCCGCGCCACATCTGGCCATTCGCCTTCTTCATCACGGAGAGTCTCGGCCAGCTACCCTTCGCCAGGCGCACATCTTCCAGATGAGGAGATGGAAGAGGAGGGATATAATGTACAGTCACTCAGCAACGGTAGCGTTGTCAATGCCGCCGACAAAGACCATGCTGCCTCACGCCACAAGACGAATGGCAGAGAGGTACCAGCTGCCCAGGCTTGGGATGTGATCCAGTCACACCCACTAGCCAAGCAAGGACTCGTTGATGTCACTGATGTTGTCAGGCGTCTGCGAGGAGCAGCCAAGTGCGACGGCCACGGGCCAGTCTTCGAGGAAAGCACAATCTGGCAAGCCGTTGAAGAGTCGAGGCGCAGTGGTGGCGATGAGCTCATCTGATCTCCAACTCCAGTAGGTCATTGCTCAATTTCCTTCTATCTCTTGTTAAAATGTTCTTCAAACTCTCGCTCAGCAAGAGTGAGCTTCTTGTTGGCGTTCTAGGGGCCACAGCTGGCGGTATCAGACTGTAGGCATGGGGCAGGAGTTTTTTATGCGATCTATGACTGTCTCCACGGTCACGGCGGATTGCTTTTCACTCAGAATTGTTTCTACGATATCGAATACCCCGTGGTTCATGCCACCTTCAGCCTTCAATGGCTGCACTTCAGCTCAATGCACAATTCAACTTCGACATGTATTCACCATATCAAGTTCCCTGCCTCGACGCCGTAGGCAGTGACACAGCAGTAGCAGCCACGCATGAGACGTCATAACATCAACCATCATATGGACGGACTGCAGGGCCTGAAGAAGTGCATCATCCGAAACTTTACTATCAGGTTTATCGACGAGCCGTTGAGATACAACCTAAACACCAGCTACTGCTGGCATCCTCCATTGCTTTCGATGCCACATGGCGAATCGTTTGCTTCGAAACGACGAATGGACGGCACAAATGTGCTCCACGCTTATTTGGTCAAGACTGAAGCGTTTCACAGGCGTCCAGACATCTAACACCGTCCATCAACAAATGTGTATTAGCTTAACGACTCACTACCACAGAGACCCGACAATCGTAGTAACTATTCCTATCCAAGGTAACGTCCCCCCCTACGTTGCGAGAAACCCTGTGGGCCGAGAATCGCCAATAAAATCGCAAGGTCTATACAAAAGTCTTCCATCCTTGCAACCTAATTGGCCGTTCTCGGCCCACAGGGTTTCTCGCAACGTAGGGGGGGACGTTAGGTATTGTAAGGTATCGCCGATGCATGCCGCCGCAGCGGTGCGAAAAGCTTCCTCTGAGGACTTGTCTCGGCAACTCACTTTCACCATCAAGCAGAGCCACCTTTCTCCGCACTGCAAGGTTTGCATATGCGCAAATGCGAACCGCGCTCTGGGAATTGAAATGCGACGCAGACAGTCAGCATGCCATGCAGTATGTCAGCCATCGAGCCTGACCTTTGGTCGCTCCTAGGCCGCTTTCGTACAACTCGCGATCAAAGGTGTTCAGTCCTCGAATCGGCGTTGTCGGGTAGCCATGGGCACTTCACTGCTTCATTCTGCATGGCTGGGAGCTGCAAAAGCTGTGTAGCAACTTGTGTCGAGCTCCGTCAGTTGGTATTACAGTACTAAAATACATCGTCCTCCAAATCGCATGTATTCGACTGAACGAGATGCCTTGAAACATGCAAGTCGGCATGTCGTGGCACGACACTACCTTGAGTGAACTACGGCTTACTACAATAATCTAGTCTCACGATATCTTGCATGCATTATCGTCTATTCGCCATTCGTCGGACTTCAACTCCGTCCAGTGCAAAGGCGACCTGATGGGCTGCTCGTTAGAGTTCACAACGGATGGGTTACAAGCAACTGCTGTGTAGCATAATCAGTGGTTACACAGTCCTGCGAGATTGCTCAATCAGACGACTGCATCCCTTTATTTGCTGAGGATCTCGCTATGAGAAATGAAGGTGCTATCTTCTCGACTTCAGGTAGACGTCGGGATCAACGTCATGCTCCCCGCGGCTCGTTTAGGAAAGTGGGGGTAGACAGTTGATCGGCAGGGCCCTGAGCTTGAGGCGCAGAGCTTCGAAAAGTTTCAGGCGTCAACTTGAACACCACAACAGCGGCCACGAATCTCGTCACTCAACCTCAGCACCACGCCATAGACACAAAACTTCCCTTGTACCTTCAAACTACAGCCTCCATTATGCAGATGCCAGATATGCCCATTAATGTCGAAGTTGACCCCAACGAAGACACAGAATGGAACGACATCCTTCGCAGCAAAGGCATCATTCCAGAGAAGCCGCCGTCGCCTACGCCTATGATTGAAGAGGCGCTCACAGAAGCACGCCGACTCGCACATGAGAACCGACTTGAGGGGAAGGAGCTAGATGAGCTAGCAGAGCTAGAAGACGAAGAGGACGAGGACTTTCTAGAGAGCTATCGGTAAGTACCCCCTCACGATCTTAGGCAATTCATAAAATCGCTTCTTACAAGGGACAGTTGCTAACAACGCCTCCAGCCAAAAGCGCATGAACGAACTATCCTCCATCTCCACCGCCTCAATATACAACCAAGTATACCACCTGCAAAAACCCGATTACTCGCGCGACGTGACCGAAGCGAGTCAGAAATCTCACATCTTTGTGCTCCTCACCTCGTCCACGGGGACAAACACGGAATCCCGCGTCGCAATGGAGTCGTGGACCCTCTTGGCACAAAGGTTTGGAGATGTCAAGTTCTGCCAGATGCGCGCGGATCTGTGTATTGAAGGGTACCCAGACCGGAATACGCCGACGGTGCTCGTGTACAAAGATGGCGATATTAAGAGGCAGATTGTCACATTGCGCGAGCTCAATGGGTCAAGGACAAAGGTTGAGGATTGGGAGAAGGTGTTGGTGGATTTGGGCGCGGTGAAGATTGGGGACTCGAGATTGAGTAAGAGACCGGGGCAGGAGGAGGAGGGTGAGAAGACGACGGGGATACGGCAGGGGAAGGCTATGGCGCAGACGAATGGCGATGACAGCGATTGGGATTGAGGGTGCGCGGCATGATTAAGGAATTACGAAACACTGATTGCAGAGACATCGAGTACAGCTATCCAGCTAGTGTGGGAGACTATGTTAGGTCCATCACAAGCGCTGGCAACCTGTGGGCCGCTGCACTCATTGCATAGGAGAGCAGAATCAAAGTCAATCGCCGGCACAAAGCAGGCACGATCAACGAACGCCTCGGAGACCGTCGACACGACATGCGGTGACATATCACACGTATCTTGACATAATTTTAAATCTTCGATGTGCATTACTCCACTTCCGACAATGTGTTTGGGATTTTGCTCAAGCCAACTGGCGCAGCACACTACGGTATCCGCCGATGTAACGTCTATCACATCAAAGCGGTCACACAAGTTTGAAGCCAGTCTAATCAAGCTACATGTGTAGAGAGCGAACGTGATTGATATGTTCGATGCGCAAGATACATCTGCAGTCTGATATACAATAGTGATCCTCAACTATCCGCACTTCTATCCGCGATTACTTGCTCCTTCCACATCATACCTCTTCCGACAACTTCATTACATCTGCTAATATGCCTTCTCTCACCTCGTGCTGCTGAACCCTCCAACTTCCGTGCATACAGTAGATTGATCTAGAAGAACTTTCCGCTCTTGCCAGTCTGGACGCTGTGCTCGAGCACAGTAGCGTTCTCGTCAGCATCAAACGCACCGGGATGGGTGACCTGGCGGGGAACAGGGCGATCCAATGCATCAAAGCGATGGCCCTTGACCTTGGCCCAGATCCAGAGCGCCGAAATGCGGAGGGCGCATGCACCGAAGGCCCAGAGGAGACCGCCGAAAGGAGCCGCGACGAAGGCACCTGTATGTGTCAGTATCAACTTCAAGATAAGAAGGTGATGAAGCTTACCAAATGCACTCCAGTCGTTAGCGTACAGCCCACCCTCGAGCAGAAGAAGGCGGCCGGCCAGTCTGGTGTCGCCGTCGTAGTAGACTAGGCCGAAGAGGAAGATGGTGAAGATTCCGCCCAGGCCACCGATGACGAAGTCAAAGCCGCGGTACCAGTAGAACTTTTCGCTCAGTCCGATGACCAAACAGGGAACCACTGCGGCACTGACCAAGTCACTGATCAAGAAGATCTGGAGGATGTCCGGGCTACGAAGAGCGACAACGACGACCGGGAAGATGATGGCGACAACGCAGGCGCGGATGATCCAGATGTTGAGCTTGTTGCGGAAGAAGTCGTTCGAGCCTGTTGAGATCATTGCAGACTGGAAGGAGTCAAAAGCCGCGGTGGACAAGGAGATAGTCATGACGAGCACCACGCCGACAACCCAGTTGGGCAGCTGCGCGAGCAAAAGAAACAGGGAGAGAGACCCAGTCTCCTCATCCGTCATATCCCATGCGCCGCTCCATGCAGCCAGAAGGCCTGTAACACCAACGAGGGTCAGGATGATGAGAACACCGAGTGAGGCGAGGGAGACGCCGATCCAGAGGTCCTTGTCTGTGCGCGAGGCGAAGGTGCGCATCCAGAATCCGGAGAGGAAAAAGTCGTTGGTAAGAACGGCAACGGGGAGGATATACAGCAACTGCCATCCGAGCAGAGAGGAGTTCAGGTATCCAGACTGCTCGATGAGAGGGCGCTGGATGTCTGTCTCCACACCGACTGCGATCACGCCGAGGATAATGAGGCCGACGACCATGACACCTTGAATGTTGTCCGTCACGAAGGAGACCTTAAAACCGCCGAGAGATGTGTAGATCGTGGTTACTGCACACTCGACGATCACAACGGGGAGGCCGTTCAGGCCAGTAAGCAGGTTGACGATCTGCTGGAGCGCGGACAGCTCAGCGACCATGTACAGGAACATAGTGATGAGCGTGCAGATACTCAGGAAGAGACCTGCGACTGCCCCATAGCGCTGGCGTGTCCATTCAGTCAGGACGAAACCCTCAGGGCACTTGCGGCGAATGATGGGGCCAAGGGCGCCGAAGATCAGAAGTGGGAGAGCCGACGAGAGGGCGTAGACCAGGAGACCTTGGACACCAGCGATGGTTGCAATTTGCGGGTAGGTAAAGAGAATACCAGAGCCGAGTGCTGTTTGATAGAAGAACCTAGGTTAGCTGTCTGTGACAATGTTGGGGGGGGGGGGGGGGGTAGCGGCAGCACGTTCCTCACGCAAGTATTATCTTGATCGAGTTCTGACGGTACTTCTCAGCTTCACTTTGACCAGCGACAAGCTTTTCTAAGAAATGCTTGTCGCGATCTCAGATCTGCGCCCGCAGTGTAGCCGCACAAAGACTGCTCCCATCATGCTGTGTGCCAGCAGTCACGAGAGCAGCCTCTGTGAGAGATCTCAAATACGAACCTGAAGACTTGACTAGAGTTTGAGCTCGTAGAGCAGTTGATGTCAAATGCACCCTGATCGGGTGATGTCGTGATACCGAATCGATACTGCCGCTGCTCTTCACGCTGGACGCGCTGTTACACGGATGCACTCACCCGAGGCGATGAAGTTAAGAGCGAGCGGTACGCCTGCAAGGTGTTAGCCTTCGTTCGTGAATGTTGGGTGCGGTAGCAACGTCAAAAGTTGTGACGCATGGTAGCTGAGATCCTGACCCTTCTGTGTACAATTGCTAGACAACCACTCAGTCTTCGACTGGTGTCGCAACCGCCATGCGATAAAGCATCCCAAGACTCTGATCTCTGGTTAGCCCTGTGGTTCCACGGTCGCACGACTCGAGGGCTCCACATTTGACTTACAGGAATGCGCCGAGAGTCAGGTAGATGATGGCGTTAGACGCCGGCTGCGATGGTATGCCCATGTTGCAAGATATGTACAGTTAGCTTCCGGTATATACACAGGTGAGGATTGAAGCTGTCACGATGCAGGTCATGCAGGGTTGCAGCTCGAGCCAAAGAGTTGGAAAGTTTTGCGTTCGGACCCCGCTAGCGCTGGACGGGGAAGGTGCCGATGATGTCAAAGATCAGACATGTTCTAGCCGCTCTCTTAACTCCACGTGGGGAAGTGCTGTAATTAGTTGAAGGTCTTGATGATCTGATGTTCGATGTTGCTCGTTCCCAGCATGTAGTGGCATTCCTTGATGTCATCTCAGTAAAAGGCTTTGCACGGCACGGCACGAACACATCAGAAAAATGCATGTAGTCTGACAATTCGGGAGCAACTCGTTTCAAAGATGTTATGAAGTGAAAGTATTTGCATTTTGTTGATATCCACGAAACGCTCGTATCGCTCCTTAACGCATGTAAATGCCTCGATGTGTTGAGTATCCCTCCAGCACCCCAGCTTAAGCTGCTGCCGGTATTGTACCGCAGAACTGTGGTAGTGTCGATTGTCTCTTCTTCTTTCACCACCTCGATTACCACGCATGTCGGTCCCAGTTTGGATCTGCAGCTGTCAGCGGCCGTTTTCATCTGTGTTTCCGTACCACTAACCCTGTACAAACGCCGCCAGCACCTTGCTCCCTGTCTGGAGCAGTGGGTGTCCAACAACTATCTGCAAGAACCTCTGCAGTCCTTCCCTCCTGTGCTCAATCACGTCGTCTGAGAAGCGGTTCGTCAGGACCTTGCCCGGCAGCGGTGGTATCGTAACGCGCGCACTCTCGCGCTCGAGGATGTCTCTGAAGGCTTCGAATTCGTTGTAGCGCCGGCGTACGGAGGAGGACTTCAGCTTGAAGGCGGGGATGTTGGTGCGCATTACGATCTCGTAGGTTGTGTACATGCCGCGGCCGACGCCTGTCCAATATTAGCCAACATTCCTTCTCTTGCAAGGTGTGTAGTGTATACCGTGTGTCATAGGATTGCGGACCTGTGCACGCGACATGTGAGCGAGGCTGCGAAGGGTTCATAGAGGGGCGCATACCTCGATCTCGAGGAAGTTCTCGGGCGGTCCGTACAGCTCCTCGAAGGACTGCTGGCGTGCATCTGGTATGGATTGCATCGTGAATGTGTAGTGAAGGCGTGTAGTATGCAGGAGCGGTCGGCGCAATGCGAGCGTTGGCTGATCGATAGGAAGGTGGGGCTCTCGGCCTTAAGGCGCGAACAGCTCGCCCGGCAGTTTGGACATGTCCGTGCGGACACCTTCCCTGCAGCCACCCTCTCATCCTCTTCATCAACGCTGTTACATGGTGATTCTGCGTCGATGCCAAGGATGACTGCTTCTACAGTATCGAGAAAAACTCCAAAGGCCCATGAGAACTTGTGCAGTGTTTCGTTGGTCCGTTAGCTGACGAAATGTTTATCCTTGACCCAGATCGCCGAGCTCATTCATCGACAATTGCCTTTCGATGATTCCGAATCCGATGAAATGTACGAATGGCTGTCGACATGTCTCGAATATTGCAAGTCTCATCATGTCAAGTGGGGCAAGGGCACTGCGATTGAAGGAAGCAACACTAAAAACTGTTGCGGTATGAGTCGGTCCATACACGACTCTATTACCCTGGCTTAGACTGTTCTGGACTAGCACGTTCCAGAGTCAGTATATAGTCGTCTTCTCCCCACTAGATAGCAACTCAGCGGAGTATTCCATCGACCCGATAGTCCTACGTTATCGTTTACCGTAGCTATCAGTATTCTGCAGCGGCCCACGCCGCCACAAAAACGAAGAAAGTCTGCTGCCAACCAGAGTATTACACATACATCGCCGAAATGAATGACAGAACTATGCTCTGCATCTCAGGTGCACCTCTGGTACAAGAGGACAATATGCTGCTTTGAGCCATTACTGGTGAGAGGTCAAGGAACCATCCACCTATGACCACCACAGAGAGTTTTTAAGCGTCATCAGGAATCTATCAGGGTATCTGAGCTACCGCGAACATTTCAGGACGCGCTCAGAGTCAGGGCTCGACTTGGACTCGACTATCTTTGGAATGGTCCCCTCTACATTATCCAGGGTGATCCACATGGTTGGGACACAGAATCAGTTCGTATGGGCTCAGTTTACGGTGATGCAGATGCCATACTCGCAGCCTCGCATGCCAGGAATTCCGAACAGGGTCTCTTCTTTCCTCGGCCCATAGTAAGACATGCACCAACCGCTTCGATCCCAATCACACACAATGAGTCAGCAGACGGAGAACTAATCTTAGCCAGCGAGCACTTTGGAGGCAAGAATGCAAGCTTGCCAACTTTGGGCGCACTAATATACCGGGCATGGTGAAGAGTCAACCGAAAGGCGGTCCACGGTTCGACAGTCTCCTCCAAATTTCCCTCACCAGCTACTATGGGCTCGCAATTTCATCGACAGGATTACCGTGCCTTCAGACTCGAGAAGTTGAGGTTGCCCAGCTGGTCATGGCTCTCTATTCCTGTATCAGTAAGGTATTTGGATCCACGACCACAGGAGTTCTTGAACTGTACTCGTCATGCGGACTTCGCCTCCGACAATGCTGGCAGACTGCTTGCTCAAGGCCACTTTCTCTCAGCAAACTTGTATGCCTTCAACGACAATCCATCAAAAGACCAACTGGAATTCACTTGGCTTGCATTCAGAATAAATCGTGGGTAGTATATGTGCTTGGGATTCATGACCAGCATGAATGTGACAAGTGATCGTACGCTCATTGATCTTGAGGGAAACGGTCGCAAAAGTGTCTGTCCTGAAAATGCTGCATCTTAATTTCGTACCGGATGCCTACATCTCGTGGAGTGTGGGCGACGATATTATGCTCTGCGGATGGGTCATGTTCGACGAACCACCCGACATCTCGGAGAACGAAACGGTCATGTGGTGACCGTACTGGACTCTTCCAACACTGACTTGGGATTTGCCACATGATGGCGTAGAGGATTTGCCAGATTCCCAGGAAGACATGGTGTTCCACCAGGTTCTGGTTTGCGAGGAACAACATGACCTATCGACCCTGGACCTCAAAGTACCACACGCTCTCTTATCCAAGCTTGATCACGCTCTCTGTCCCTCCCTCCTGCTTCCATCCTCCCAGTCGTCTAATGAGCCGACATCCCACACGCACTACACCCCAGATCATCAGCCAAACTTGCCGGTTATGCACGACAGGACGCTTAGTTACGGTGATATAGAGAGTGAAATACATTCATGCGAAGAACACGTCATAAATCCAGAGAAACCAGAGCGTATACTAACGCCGCGGGATTTCCGATGAACAGTTCAGTACCCAATGGTAGATCAATGGTGATCTAGCATGTCACTTCCGAGCATTTTGCCATGTACATGGCGTGAAACAAATTTCCATGGCAATACAACGTTTTTTCTAACGGTCACATATCGAGCAAGCGTTTTGAACTTAGCATGTCACACGCAAGGTCCCGCAGTGGAAGATTTTTTTGAAGTTATTCATTGGGATTCATCATTAAGCTATAAGCTAACTATCATACTGATTGGGATATCATATCATCGTTCTGTTCCATTCCATTCCTTCAGCTATACTCATGCACTTGCACGATTCGCTTAACCGTAGGTGCGGTCACCACCGGTGGTCTTGGATCCATCAAGATCAGAGTCGACGCGGGGGTCGAGCTTGTTGAGGACATTAGATCCGTGAGGGCCAGCAGTCTGGTCGGCCTTGTTGTTACCAACGTGGCCGGGGTGGTTGGTGCCGGTCAAGCCAGAGCCCTGGGTGGTGCCGTAGGTGTTGCCCTGTCCACCGTAGCGGTCAGAGTCGACACGGGGGTCGGCCTTGTTACCGAGACGAGAGTCGTGGGGACCAGAGGGGTCAGAGTAGCCGTGGCTACCAGTGAGGCCAGAGCCGGTGGTGTTGTGGCCAGTCAGACCAGAGCCGGTGTGGGTGCCAGTGCTGCCGTACTGGCCAGCACCGTAGCCGCCAGCGCCGGCGGTGTTACCAGCGGCACCGTAGCGATCAGAGTCGACGCGGGGATCGGCCTGGTTGGCGAGGTGGGTGTTGTGAGGGCCCGTAGGGTCGGAGCCAATGTGCGAGCCGGTGTGGCTGCCAGTGTGAGGAGCACCACCAGTCAAGCCAGAGCCAGTGTGGGTGCCGTGGCTGCCGGTGAGGCCAGAGCCGGTGGTGTTGTGACCAGTCAGACCAGAGCCAGTGTGGGTGCCAGTGCTGCCGTACTGACCAGCACCATAGCCACCAGCACCAGAAGTGTTGCCGGCAGTGCCATAGCGGTCGGAGTCGACACGAGGGTCAGCCTTGTTGGCCAGACGAGAGTCGTGAGGGCCGGTAGGGTCAGAGCCGTGAGTGTTGGAGCTATGGGTGTTGGAGCCGGTGAGGCCGCTGCCAGTGTTTGTGTGGCTGCTGTGAGTCAAGCCGGCACCTGAGTGGTGGTCAGCCCTTGATTGATCTTCAAGGAGAGCGTCAGGCAACTTCTTGCCATCAGTCTGGTAGGTTTGCTGACCAGAGGTGTGAGTCTCATTGCCTGTGCCGTAGCCACCAACGCTGGAAGAGTTGCCAGCGGGGCCAACACGGTCAGAGTCAACGCGAGGGTCGAGCTTATTGGCAAGCTTGGAGTCATGAGGGCCGGTGGGGTCGCTTCCGTGAGTGGTGTTGTGGCCTGTAGTGCCATGCGAACCAGTCAGGCCAGAGCCGGTGGTACCGTGGGTGTTGGAGCCGTAGGTGTCGTGCGAGCCGGTCAGACCGCTACCTGTGGTTCCGTGAGTGCCTGTGCTACCATATTGGCCAGCACCGACACCGCCAGCACCTGCAGTGTTGCCAGCTGTGCCGAAACGATCAGAGTCGACACGAGGGTCGGCCTGGTTGGCAGTGTGCGAGCTGTGAGGACCAGTGGGGTCGTCTGGATATCGTTAGCATTTGGCGGCATTGAAGTGACTGAGAACAACTTACTGTGTGTGGAGCCGGGCAGACCGGAGCCAGTGTGAGTGCCAGTGGTTCCTGTGTGTGTGGTGTCGTGGGTGGTGTGTGTGGTGTCGTGGGTGGTGTCCTTGTCCTTGTGGAGGACGTTCTCGACCTTAGCCTTGATCTTTTCCATTGCTCCAGCCATGTTGTATGTTTATGTGTTGTGGTAGTGGGATATCTTAGTGGGGTGTTGGGTGAAGTTGTTGTTGTTTAGTTGTGTAATGGTGAGTACTCGAGGTCTCAATGGCTCCTTATATATCACCATTGGAAGGCAGGAGCACCTCATTCTGCTACGTCATGTCTTGCTGGCCGTCCAGCTCCCAGCATCAGCATACGTGCCACAAACAGCGGGGACGACTGGGTGAGACTTTCGAATCCCTGTTTCATCATCCCTCTTTTGACTATAACGGGTAGCGCCGCAAACAACATGATCTGAGATGCTGCAAGCACAGCTCCCGTCACGTCATTTGCCGTACTTCCAGACCTTCAGCCTCGAGCATCTCAAGCTTTGGACGGGCGTACCTCGGCCGTTCTTCCGATCAAACGTCTCTCACTATGCCCTTGCAAGTCTTGTTATCTACTTGGAAGCGCCACAAACACTGGCCACAGCCCACAGTAACAGGACCCTTTCAAGCACTAGTCTACACAGACAGGGCTTAGCATTCCCAAACCGGCCCACAGCGGCGGCTAGCACGTGGACGGCGCTGCGTCATTCTACCCTGAACTGTGGAGAAGCAAAAGCTTACCTGCAACTCCAATTCCTGTTTGCCGTCGTCTGTCCTTGCGTTGTGCTACACTCGCCCTGTATTACGCAATGATCCCCAGCCGATCGGGTAGCCACACACGCGTCTGTGGAGGTACTTGTGGCGCAGGACAGTTTACCTAGCATATGTGGCGTCATCCGAAGATCTCGAGGTTCAGATCGGAGCACCGTCTCCTGCAGACCTCCGACAGGGCGTCACAGCGGTGCACGCCGGTCCTGGATGCCACGGGATAGGTGGAGAAATGCGGGATAGCAGCGTGTCAGAAGGCGAAGCTCGGCCTGCGTCCAAAATCTTGGTGCTTGGAGGGGCAGACTGTGGGCGAGAGCCATCATCATGACGCACCCCGCATTAAATGTTTCGCTTGCGGATGTTTGCCTGTAGACTAAGAATAGCTGGAATAAAGTGTAGAACCACAATAATAAAGTGATCCAATCAAACAATCCAAGAGATTATCCGCGAGAAAGCAGGAATTGCTTGACCGCTGTTGCGGGAGCCTTGAGATTTGGAGACGTTGCGAATTGCGCAAGAAGACGAAAGTCACGCAGTGCCCAAAGCTCACCGCTGGCGGAGTCTCGAACACGACCGCCGTCTGTGAAAAATACCTTGTGACTTGAATCTGCACAAAGCTGTGAAAACGGCAGTTGCGATCGAAGAACATCATTTCCAGCCTCCCTGCGACTATCCCATCAGAAGCTCGAAGCATGGTCCGAAGCTTGAATGCCAGCTGAGTTCGTCACCAATCCACCACACCATACCATTGCAGTGGCAATTTATCCCGTGTCGACGAGGATTCGAAGCTTCTTCACAATACCTTGCAATTGATGTGCATATGCGTAAAGATGAAGTTTTCAAATGTGATTTTGTTCACATGCATTTCTAGGTTGCAGAAAATGGTCATAGCTCCAATTGACGATGTGTGACATCATCGCGTAAACACGCGACCTGCCCCTCTCAACAACACTCTGAGTCTTCCTGCTTCTGTCCACGACACTCGACAACCTAGTACCTACTCTCAATCTCACGATGTCATCAGGAAAGTCAACAGCGAGCAAGGTTCAAGAAAAGGTCAGGCAAGTCGCGCAGGAGGACTTCAACCAGGCCAGCGCCCTGGCAAACGATGCCGTGCGGTCCGGCGCCTATCTGTATCCGTTCAAGGTATGCCAGTCGATGCACATTTACAATCGAACAAGGATTGACGTTTACAGGGTATCGCGTATTTCTTCACTCACCGCGCGCTATGGCGTCCTCTCGCCGCGAAGCTGATCCCCACGATATCCCTCGGCCTAGGCGTCACGGTGTTCATGTTCGTAGTGACCTATGTGCCTCAGGCCGCCGTCCTCAGCGTCTTCAACGGCCCGCTCGCATTCGTCACGACTGTCCTGCTCGTGCTCAGTGAGAGCTCCACCATCTTCAATGTGCTGAGCAAGAACTTCCTCATCGATGATGCGCTCATCGATACGTTCGATGGCACACTTATGTCGCGCAACATGACCACTTTGGTCGCCAAGGAGCGCGCAGTCAAGTCTGGCAGCGATCCAATCGCAAAGTTGGGCAAGCTTGCGACCAAGCCATTCGCGAAGTTCGCTCCCAGCGCCATCATCCGCTACTTCATGTACCTCCCGCTCAATTTCATCCCCGTTGTGGGTACGGTCCTGTTCGTCATTCTGCAGGGGCGCAAGTTTGGACCTACTGCGCACGTGCGCTATTTCCAACTCAAGCAGATGAACAAGAAGGAGAAGGATCAGTTTGTTGAGCGCCGCAAGGCTGCCTATGCCAGGTATGGAGTTTTCGCCAACCTCTACTTCAGCAGTCGTTAACATTTTGTAGTTTCGGTGTCCCCGCCGTCCTCCTCGAGATGGTCCCTATCGCCGGTATCCTCTTCTCATTTACGAACACGGTCGGTGCAGCACTCTGGGCCGCTGATATGGAGTCGTGCGACGCAAGCGGTCAGAAGACAACTGCGCCCGGTCTGCGCAACCAAGCGGCAGAGGCCAGGAAAGAGTTGTAGGACTTCTATCCGTACAGCCGCTTTGTCGGCCTAGACGAACACTATCGATACCCGTGGAAGCCTCCGTATGCGCCAGGCTGGCTGCTGGGGTGGTCATGGGTAGAAGTACTACGTATGAAGGACGTCGAAGACCAATCCGGGTACTTCGATGTTTGGCGAGGAGATGGTAATGCTGCTGAGCGCAATTACGACGATAATGATAACGTGATACACCTGTATACTTATAATGAGACTTCATAATAAATTAAGACCGATTTCTGAACGTGCTTTACCCATGAGTTCTTCTCTGTACTCAGGTCGTAAACTACAACATATTGGTGTCTCAATGTCGTCCCCTTGTCCATATTCTCCTTGAATGCACTCTAGAAACAAAAGCAGAATAACTTACCTTGCTTCATAGCAAGCACTTTATCACTGCTATTCTCATCTGCATCTGCGTTCGTTCATTACTTTATCGTGCGTTACATGTTGCTGTTGAAATGCTGAGGCTAGGAAGATTGACCACATAAGCGTATCGATGTTTTGCAGTTTCCACCACACTACAAACACCTTCGAAAAATCACAACAACGCCAACACCAGTAGTTCATACGTCCAAGCACGTGAGTCGATGGAGTTAGACATATAGAACACTATCTAGGTCAATTTACGCGTGTCCAAGCTGAGCATGCGGATAATGTGATAGTGGCATAGCTTTTGGCCCCCAAACATCGACCTCAACTGGGGGCCTTGAAAGCGCCGAGAGTAAGCCCAATCCTACGAAGACAGATGCCAAGCCCCCTTGTGCCGTCGCCATTGTCAGAAGAAACAGAGACTGTACGGCCTGATGTTTCTCTCGTGATGGCTTCGAACACACATTCTGACTTGGAGGTCGTTGCACCATCAGCGAACGATACCTATAAATACCCGTACAAGTCTCCTGAACCGATCCCCGCATACTCCAACACCGCATCAGACACGAATAAGATCGCGTACGAGAGCGCTACATACGAGCGGCCAACCCCAGCAAGAATATGCGGCCTGCGCAATAGAACGTTTTGGATCGTGGTGATAGCCGCAATCGTAGTTGTCGCCGGTGCTGTAGGCGGAGGAATTGGCGGCGCGCTCGCATCACGGTCGTCAAGTAACTCCAAGAGCAGCAACAGCAACAGCAATGTAGAAGCACCACAATCCAGTGCGCAATCATCCTCAACAACACAAACGCCTACATCATCAACACCCACATCGTCGACACAAATCATCTCAACGAGCACAATCGTTGGCCCGACGAATAGCCCAGAACCCACCCTCCTACGCGACTGCCCGTCCTCCAACAACTCCATCTACTCCGTCACATACGGCAGCACAAGCTACCAGTTCCGCAAAATCTGCAACAACGCGTACCTCAACGTCAACGGCGTGTCGGCGCAAGTTCAAGGCGTGGTCAAGAGCCTCGACGACTGTATCGATAGGTGCGCAATATACAATCGCAATAACGCGACCGAAATACAGGCGGGCCGCGATCCCATCTGTAACGCGGTGTGCTGGCGAAACACATTTGATAAGACGAATGACTGGGAGGGAGGGCGTTGTTTTGGGTACACGACGCAGAACACAACAGTGAATGGGCAGACGAGTTTCAGGATCACGAACACAGCGGATATCTGCGACAGTGCGGCGTTGGTTAACCAGGATTTTTGAGGCAGGGAGGAGAAAGAGCAGGTATAGGCATAGCGTTTACATTCTGATAGTCAAGTTTGCAATGATGATTTGCTTACCAACAGCTTCCAGCAATAAAGAGTAATCAAGTACTCCAAGAGCTCAAACTCCTCCACCGACAACCTTCTTAAATCAACTCGCACCTGAACGAGCTGAGCTGATTCTGGCAGTTCCACACGCCGACATTACTGTGTCCGGCATCACTTGTGACAGGACCGCCTTGCTCGCCACTGCATCCGAAATCTCTGTGCCTGATCAACATCTCGCTCACACCATCGTATCCAGTATTTGAGAACTTACTTTCAGATATAGCACTTGAAGCCCGGATCGGCATACACAGACCAAGCCTTCTCGTTTTATTAACCACTCGTCTCATCTGTGGCTCAGTCAGCAGGGAAGCCAGAGGGTGTGGTGGTTTGGATGGGGCGTACATCATTGGCCTGGTTGGATCTTCATTCAGGCCTTGCAGTTGTCGAAATCAATGCTCTGGCATGTCTGGAAGGTGGTTGCATGGACTGCCGTAAGCAGCACGGCGCTCGAGAGAAGGATGGGAAGAACGTTAAGCATCATAAAGAGCTTGGCGGTGTTGCAGCTGTGTTGGATGCAAGGAAGAATGAGGTGACGGCATTGGGGCAGTAAAAGAAACCGTACCATTATACATGTCTCCGAAGTGGTTCTGTTAGTCCTTAGCTTCATGCTCGTCCTCTACAGTCTGCCTAGACAACTCCATTGCTTGGCGTTGTCAACTTCTCATTCTAGTAATCAACATTACTGCATCTAGTGACATCTCGCCCTCAGATGTCACAGAGAGACCCTTGTGTTTTGTCGCCAAGCACAGGATCTCAAGTTCCCTCACCTACGCTCGTGCGGAGCCAGATCCGCACATGTTATGTAACTACGTAACCTAAGTCACATGATTTCCTATTGCAGAAGGCACTGCCCGACAGCAATTGCACTTACCTCTGAGCTGAGAGCTCCTGTACAAGAACATCACTGACAACACAGATAGCAATACAATCATTGACCACAGCGTCCGACCGACACTGCTCACGTAGTTACATATTATGATACTATTCTTGAGCAGAAGAGCGCACAAAACGTATTCCTACACATACTCGGGGCTCTAGGTAGGTGCGTCGGACTTGATAAGGCGACGTGCCAATGCCTCTCTTGGGAGAGGTGTGTATATGCATGTGCAAGCTCAGGGGACTGGTTCCTGTGTTCGCTCCAAAGCAAAATGCACTTTTATTAGTATTCTAGGCTTTGATCGCACACATTCCTGTTCTACTCCTCTTCCTGCAAGTCTTAGGTATGCCAGCCACTGAAGACTGATCCCTTCCCTCTAAATCTGTCCATGACTCTTCTACCTCCTGAAGTGAACTCAAATGGACATTTGATCAGCAAAAGCTCACAACCATTAGACGAGATGAGTTGATGTTCATTTTTTATTATGCAATACTAATTACATCTACGCTTTTACCACGCAGCTCTACTCTACAACATCATTACTCATCAGTCATCACCAGCAATGTCTCTAGTACTTGGTGCTGTTCGCAGCCGGGCTGCCCTTAGCCAGACCAAAGCACTCCGCCATACCGTAGAAGATGTCAATGCTGTTGTACACACCACCGAACAGTTCTTGGCAAGGTCCCATAGCGAACACAGGGACATCAGTGAGCGAGTGCACACCTTGGTCGTTATCAACAGGAAGAGTGCCGTTCAGTGTGATACCAACGGGCTCCTTGGGGTTGACGTAGAAGTCGTCGTCGTCCTTGACCTGCTCGGTGGCGGGGAGACGTGGGCCAGACTTCCGGACGGACCAGTTCTCGCGGCGGTCGGGGTCGGCCATGAGACCCTGGAAGAGGGTATAGCGCGGATCCCAGGTCGAGGGGAAGTTGCTGTCGGTGTAGGTCAGGTTGCCGGTGTTGGCGTACTGGGAGAGGCCGGAGCGCTCGTAGACGTTGACTGCCTCGCGGCGCTTGCGGTCTGTGTTTTGTGCGGCGAGGTAGTGCGTGTCGACGGAGCCCATAACGTCGAAACCGTGGCCGTGGTCGGCGGTGACGAGGATCAGGGTTTCCTTGAGGCAGTTGGTGGAGTTGAGCTTGGCGATGGTGGCCTTGATGGTGTCATCGAGCTCGAGGAGCTCACCGAGAGCGCGGTCGTAATCGAGAACGTGCATCATCTTGTCAATGGACGCAGCCTTTTCTTCGTTAGTTTCTGCTAGAAAATCTCGACTCGTTCGTTCTTACTTCAGACATAAGGAACCAGCCCTTGTCGCCGGAGCGAGCCTCGAGGATGTCGATAGCCTTGAGAGTCATCTCCTTAAGACCGGGCTGGTCAAGAGCGGGCTTCTTGTCACCAGTGGGAGAGAGCGACTGGTTCAGGTTGTTGCGGTAGACATTGCGGTCAAGCCACTTAGCCATGTTGGAGGTCGTGAAGATACCGAGAGCCTTGTCGTTGTTGTTGGCAGACAGCAGCGCAGTGCGGTTCTGGATGATCTGATAGTCCTTCTTGGCGAATTCCTGGTAGTAGTCTACACGCATTGGTTAGCTCCCGCTTCGTCGCAACATATCCAATTCGAACTTACCCTTTCCCTGGTAAGTGACACCACCGAGCGAGGGAGGGTAGAACTGCTCGGCACCACCACCGAAGATGACATCGACGGGGACATTTGTCCAGGTGTAGTTCTGGACACCGTTCAGGTAGGTGTCCACAATAGCGCCATACTCGCCACGGTTGCGAGTGTGGGAGACGAGCGCAGCAGGGGTGGCATCGGCAATGTAGGCAGTAGAGACGATACCAATGTGTCCGCCAGTGAGACGGTGGAACATCTCAGCAATAGTTTCAACCTTGGGGTCATCGAAGGCATTCTTGCTAGAGTCGGCGTAGACGTTCAAGCAGTTGACTGTGCTCTTGTGGCCAGTGTTAAGAGCAGCAGCGGAATTGGCAGAGTCGGTGATGAAGCTGTCAATGGAGTGGGTCATCTGGTGACCAAGAACGGGGAACTTGTCCATGGCCATGGTGGTCTGGTACTTTCCGTTGATGCTCTTGTGACCGATCAGGCGTGCGGCCGTGATCATGTTGGTGGTCATACCGTCTCCGATAAAGAGAATGATGTTCTTGGTCTTGCGCTCCTCGGCCAAGTCGCGAACGAGCCAAGTAGCCTCGGTCTTGCTGCCGTTGTTGTAGTTGAGAGTGGCAGTGTACTCGCCGGGCTCGTAGAGAGCAACACGGCGGTAGGCCTTAGCTGCGACATTGACGAAACTGGCGTTCTTTGCGTCGCGAGCGAAGAGATCTGTAGAATGTCAATGATTGTCCAGAAGTAGTTTCTGAATTTATCTTGAGGGACTTACCCTCATACCAGGTGAAGTTCCACTTCTCGAGCTTCGGCTCCTGGATCTTGAAGTATTCAGTGACCGGTGCGGTCTTGCCATTCTTACTGATGGTGAATGTGAACTTCTCGTCCAGAGGCAGGCCAATGGCTTCAGTTCCATTTGTAGGCTGGTGAACTTCGAGACGGATGTCGAAGTACTGGCCAGCGAGGAAGTCGGCCCTGTTGTCAACTGCTTAGTATGGGTTCATTGGAAGCTATTTCAATCAAGATGCTCACTGGTCTGGAGGGAAAACGCAACCTGTGATGTTGTCAGCAGCCATTTCAGGGTCCAGATATTGTGGTCGTACCAAGCGTTGGGCAAGCTCCAAGACGGCGGAAGCTCTGCGCAGACACAGCGCCCACGAGCAGGGCAGCTGCGGCACCAATTGATGTGGTGGATTTCATGGCGAACGCTACAGAGAGTGAGGTGGTACACAAGACTCTCGAGGGGTGCGATAGCGATCCATGAAAAGCTGCAGGGCCAGGCTTTATAGCTCCCAAGGATTTGGGCCTGCATTCAGAGCTCCTCGCAGTTTTGGGAAATAGTCAGCACTTGGGAGCTACCAACCTGCCAGGGTTCACAGCTCCTCCCCGCAGGGCTGGTCGCCTATGCTTGCAGACAGGTCCGTCAACTGTCCTTAGTCGCCCTCGTGCGATGTTCAAGCTCTCTGACTGCTCGAGATCAACTCCCAGCTGCCAGGACCAGACCTGTTTCCGCTGGTATGGGTGCAGCCACAAACCACTATCATCATACCGAAGGCGGACGAGCTGCCTTATCGAGGTTGAGATGCACGTTTCTCATGTTACTTTGAGGCGGGCTGTCCATGTTCTTGGCGAAACGTGAACGATAGCGGAGTCGTGATTCGCCATGGCGCACATGGTGAAGAACACTCCGCCCGCGCGGCGTTCTTGGCATCTGCAGTACAAACGAACTCGTGCAGGGGAAGAGAGTCTATTGGGCATGAGACAGATAAAGTGGAGAAGAAGACCTTGGCATGAGCTTCGATTCGGATATTGTGCCGCGGAAAGGGAAGGATGGAAGTTGAGGGAAGTTCGATGACGACGGCGATGACCGGAGATCGCAGGCGCGACCGTGCCCCTGACATCTCCTGTGCAAGAACAACGCGAACAATAATTGCCTGGAGGTGAGTCAGAGGATGCGAAAAGCGCGCGTGAGCCATCTGCATCCGTAACAGCGTAGCAGAGCTACATCCTGAATTGATGCTAAACCGATTTTGTGTAGCTTTGCCGTACTCCACCCTGAAGACTGTTCACGATACCACACCCTGGCATCTTCTGCATTACCTCAAACCTCTAACACTGACAGCCATCAAAATGATCGGCATGCATCCGCGAGCTGCTGCAGGAACCAGGTACCCCACAGATCGTGAATCTTGATTGCGATTCGGACCGCGCTGTCGCGTCCATTATGGGGTGGCTTGAATTGGTTCTAGTGTATCAACCAACGACGTCACCACTCAACTTTCTTTAGCTGTCGCGTCGGTGAGGTACCGGATTGTATTCCTTCCACATCCTTTCCCGCACCTATGCTTCTTGTCAGACATCCCTTTCTTCTCCCAATTGCGCGTATACCACGCTTCCAAAGAATCCCAATTCGTCTCGTAGCTGCAAAAGCTCAAGCATCAAAGCACGCGACACCACCAGGGCGCAAAGCGCAAAAGAAGCCAGCCGAAATGTCGAAACGGACCACGTATGACCGTGATGAGCTTGGCCATACCACGACCAAGCGCGCAAAGGAGGTGGACGAGAACCTGCCTTATGATCAATTGAAGGAAGCTCTGGGTGCGCAAGAGGAGAAGAACGATATCACAAAAGTAGTTCATTGGTTCCACCCAAAGGACTTGCGCATTCAGGATAATACTGCTTTACACCATGCTTCGGAGCTTGCGCAGAGCTCGAAGAAGCCACTTATCTGCCTGTACTTGCATTGTGCAGCAGACGAGTCATGGCACGGCACGAGTCCAGCGCGAATGGACTTCATGTGTGAAGGTATCAGCATAATGCAAAAGGAGCTGAAGGATCTCAACATACCACTAGTCTTCCTGGAGTGCGAAGATCGCAAGAAGATCGTGCCAACGGTGGTCGACTGGCTGAAGGAGCACAAGGTGTCGCACGTGTTCAGCAATCACGAGTACGAAATCGACGAGATGCGACGCGACATAAAGCTGGTGAAGCAAGTCGGAAACGATGTGCACGTCTCGATATACCACGACCAGACGGTGGTCGAGCCAGGAACTATGTTGACTGGCAACGGCAAGCCAATGAAGGTGTTCACACCCTACTTCGGCAAGTGGCTGGACATCGTCAAGGAAGAGCCAGAGCTTCTGGACCTAAGGCCTGATCCCAAGAAGCAGAATGCGGACATTGCGAAGGAGCTCAAGGACTTGTTTGGAACAAAACCCCCACAGCCGGGCAAGGATAAGCAGTTAGGGAGCGAGGAGGACAGGAAGCGCATCCGCAAGCTTTGGCCTGCCGGCCACAAAGCTGGCGCAAAGCGAATGGATGCCTTCCTGAAGCAGATCAAGAACTACGAAGCCACGCGATCGAACCCAGCCGCGAACTCGACTTCTCGTATGAGCGCGTACTTGTCTGCCGGCATGTTCAGCGTACGTGAAGTCCTGCGAAAAGTCAGTGACTACAACGGCGGCAGCAGCGACTTTACCGAAGGTCGCTCGAAGCCCGGCGTCTACAGCTGGGTGCGCGAGATCGTATTCCGCGAACTTTACCGACAGACGACGATGATGACACCGCACACCTCGATGAACTTGCCGCAGAACCTTAAGTTCGACTTCGTACAATGGGAAGATGACGAGGAGGGGTGGGAGAAGTGGTACAAGGGTACAACAGGCGAGCCGTTTATCGATGCGGGCATGCGCCAGCTGAATCACGAGGCTTACATGCACAATCGCTTGCGCATGAACGTCTCCTCATATCTGTACTGCAACCTGCTCATTGACTACCGCCGCGGCGAGCGCTACTTTGCTGAGACACTGATTGATTGGGATCTGAGCAACAATACGCAAGGCTGGGAGCCGAGCTATACTGTCTTCAACCCTGTGAGTCAGGCTGAGCGCAACGATCCCGACGGAGACTACATCCGCAAGTGGGTGCCTGAGCTGAAGGATGTGCAAGGTAAGGCTATCTTTGCGCCGTACGAGAGGCTCAGCAAGGAGGAGTTTGAGAAATTGGGATACCCGAAGCCCCACGTTAACTGGAAGAAGACGAAGCAACGGTGTATGGAGAGGTTCAAGAATGACATGTCTGGTGTTGAGCCTTGAGATGGTGTTTCGACAGTACCTAATGTGAGTAGGTAGAAGAGCTTGGGCGGTTTCGTTCTGTTGCATGTTGTGTGACGAGGCTGCAGTTGTTGGCGCAATGCCTGATCGCTTGCCCCGCACAGCCCGACTCCACACTATCGAGCTTCCTGCCTTCTCAACCTCCACCTACAACCAGTTTTTTTTTTACCACATCTGCCAGTGTCAATATTTGGCTCCTGGGAACGACCACTCTGAGACTTTACAACTTGATTACAGACGTACCCGAATACGTGATTCTGTTCCATACATGGGGTACCGAAGAAGTTTCGTTCGACGACATGCAGGACGCGCAAGTGCGAAACAAGCTGAAAGGATTTGATAGGATCGTTGGATGTTGTCATCAGGCTTTGCAGGATGGATTCGAGTGGGCCTGGATCGTGTTGAACCAGCACTATTAGAAGGTGAGATGAATTGTGATGGTTCTATCTACGAGCAGAAGGCTTCCTATCTATAGGCAGCAAGAAACAAAGAAGACAAAGAAGCTTGCTCTGTCTAAGACATGTGAGCAAGACAAGCTGATTGTACATGAGATGGATGCTGCTGGAAACCAACAGATCGATACCTGTTGCATCGACAAGCGAAGCAGTGCTGAGCTCTCAGAAGCGACTAATTCAATGTACGAATGATACTGGCGAGCCGCCAAACGCTACGCATATCTGTCGGATGTTCCAGATCAGAAAAGAAGTACACATACAAGAGTACTTGTATGTCGACAAAGAACGAGAAAGGCCAGACTGATTGAATCCGAATTCGATATCGATGACTAGGCACGCGAATGGGAAGGAGAGCAACAAACGTGAAAGATGGAACAATAAAACGCCCACGGTGCGTTTAGAGACGATGAGATAGAAAATAGAAAGATAGAAAGATAGAAAGATACGGAGAAGGCATCAGGCCAGGCTTTGCCCACTCATGGCGCTCCACTGTACAATTGCTGTCCATTCTTCTTGAACCCAGTCACCACGCTCTGACCACGCGCACTGGTCGCCCAGGCCGCAAATTGCTGCGCCAAGGTAGCATTCCTTGCCTTCCGCCCCACAAGCAAATGTCCCGGTAGCAACAACGGATCATCCTTGCTATCTGTTCCTACTTTGAACTGCTCCAGTGCAGCCGTAAGATTCGGCTGCAGCTGCTCCAGCGACAAGAACGTCCCGCGGTCTGTCAGCGTGTACTCTTTCAATAAGCTCGCTGTGTTCAATGCCTGGATGGGAAATGCGGGAAACTGGTGGTACCATGTAGAATACGGTAGAGCCCAAGGCACCTGACCGATTCCAAGCCACAATGTCGATTCCTTGAGGTTCGTTGCGGATTTATCGTAGCGGGTCAGAAAGCGAGTTGGGACAGCGGTCTTTGCGGTGTTCAGCTCTCCCGCCTGATAGATCTTTGCGAAGATCGTAGTGACGTCCATACTGCTGTTCACACCAGCTGGGTTCTCGGGAGGGCCGGCGATGATGAAGTGGTCGCGGAAGAGGTAGTAGCGGCCTGTGTTTGCATCGATAATGCCCTGCTCGGCGGCGACCTCTTCGGCCGTTGGGACGTAGGATATTCCGAGGTCTGCTTCGCCGGATTGGAGATTCTTGATGGTGAAAGTCGTGTCGCTCAATACCTACGAGGTTGTGGTCAGTACAGTATGAAAACAGCGCTATCGTTGCAAGGACAGATTGCTACCTACCCAGCCAATATTGAAAGGCTGTGAACCATTCTTCACGCTGTCTTGAATGAACGCATCGGCAAGAGCTATACATCCAGTCAGCGAAGCCATTGATAACGGGCTTGCAAAAATTACCTTTGACCAAGCCGCTCTGCCCAGCACCTCCGGTTGCTATCCGCAGTGCTGTGTTGTTGTTTATCGAGATGAAACCGCCGTTGTATATTTCTGTCGGATCAACAAGTGCGTTCACGCCGCTGATTGCAACCGCGATGGTGTAAAAAAGATGAGAAATGCTCATGGAAAACATGTTGTGCTTTTTGAAAGTTGTGATCAGATTTACTAGAAGAGACACACTGCAACCACCTCACGTTTATAGCTCCTGTCAGGTCAAGACTGTTCTGCGTAGCTGAACTCGACATGATGGAATTGTTGTGCCAATGTTGGGCTGCAGGCTCATGTACGGTACCTTTGGCTTCGACGGTGATGGGAGTAGCTGAAGTGGCGTCACAAGTCTGCTGAAAGGCATCTTACCAGTAGCACTAAGAACTGATAGGTGTATTCTAGCTTCAAGGCGGAACTAGTGCTGCGGCGCAGAACCAAGAACATCGTAGTTCAGGCAGCCCTGTGAAGGACAGAAGATCTTACTAATGGCAATGTTAACCGCCTTTTCTACCTTGCAACATGTCAGATGTGTCGGTGTGCGATCCTTGTAGGTGGACCTGTCATTAATGCTTTTTCTGATGGCGTCATCTAATGTGCGGCTGAGTTCGTAGCTAGGGCTGGGAGCGAGCTAAGGCTGCAGCACGAAGCATTGCGTAGCCTAGATATTAACTATTGAACTAATCTGATACTAATCGATCAAGCTGCACAAAGTGAACTGTTGTGTGTGTGTGTTGCTGATAGAGATCTCTGTGCAGCACCTAATGTTGGTGGGTGTCAGTGCCCAGAGAACGTTCCCTCATGAGGTGGGTTGAATCTGCCGCTAAGCCGTTATCGGCCTAGCTCATACACAGCAATGATTTCCTTCACACATCTGTAGTTCCGATAATCACAATCATCACACAATGCTTCTCAGTTGTTCCTATTGGCAGTGGGAAACACCAAAGTGCAGCTACGTATTAGACCACAACCTTCGAACATGGACACCGCGCCTGCTCGAGTGACTAAAGAAGCAAAAAGGTGTCATGCCTCTGCTCATTATACATCGTCCTGCTCCTTCATTATTATAATAGCTCGGAGATTCTGTAAGAGAGTAATGTCGCACGCTCTCATCTTCGGCGCGTCTGGCATCTCCAGACGGGCGCTCCTCAACGAGATTACTTCGTACCCCACACCGACCACGTTCGCATAGGTCACAGGTCTTTCGAATCGACCGTTCACACTGGAGCAAGTATACTTGCCACAAGATCGTCAGTTGAATCTCAATGGCATCGACCTGCCGAAATTTGTGCCCGAAGTGGTGCAGATGCTGAAAGAGAAGGTTGAGTATGCGTAGACGATCTCACATGTCTTCTTCACGGGTAGGTTCATCGCATGCAAGTGATAGAGGGTGTGATAAGAAGCTGACATACAACCAGTATATATTCAGACAGATGACTTCGAAAGCTTGAAGAAAGTCAATACCGCCCTTCTTGATACCGCCATCCGCGCCATCGAACAAATCTCTCCCCAACTGAAGATGGTCATCCTGCAAACCGGCGGCAAAGGCTACGGCCTCGAATTTCCAGACAAAGTCCCCATCAACCCACACCTGCGTGAGAATATGCCGAGAATTTCTGAACCCTACGCGAGCAAGATCCTCTACTACTCGCAGTACGACCTACTCACCGAGCTGTCGAAGGGCAAGGACCGGATGTTCGCTGAGGCGCGGCCTGACGGCATAATTGGGTTCACGCCAGTCGGCAATGCGATGAATCTGTCACAGCGTATTGGGCTGTATTTGACAATCTATCGAGAAGTACATGGCGCTGGTACGGGTGTGGAAGTGCAAGCACTCTGACACTTCACAAGGCATCTTGGAGAAGATGGAGATCCATGTTGCGACACATATGGAGGAGTGTTGTAACGGCGGTGTGTTCAACATCGATGACAGCAAGACGGTCACTTGAGTGGACGTCTGGCCGAAGCTGCGCGATCATTTCGATTTGGTGGGCAAGGGACCTGGTTTCGATCCTGTACCGATGGAAAAGTTTGTCAAAAGCAATATCAATGCGTGGAAGAAGCCGACTGAGACGCACGGGCTAGAGGAGAAAGCTCTGGAGGAGCAGAATTGGCCATTTGTACGTTTCATGCTTATTTACCTCGACTTCGATAGACAGTACAATTTGACGCGGAGCAGAGAAGCTGGTTTCGAAGAGGAGATTGACACTGCTGATAGGTACTTGAAGGCTTGGGAAAGGATGAGGAAAGCGAAAATCCTGCCGCTTAGAGTAGCGTAGTTGATAGTGCCTTCAAGACGACACTTGAATCCAGGAGTAACCCAGCTATCCCTTAGAGATACTGCGTCGGGAAGTTCTGTCCACATCCTGACGTAGAGGGTGCGAAAGCCACTGTGCTAATTGACGGATCGAACAGATCCCCAAGGAAAAGGTGGTTGGGCCAACCCTCCATGCCATCAAGGTACAACCCACTTGTATCGAGGGTATCGAGGTTGTTGAAGCCAGTATGCGGGTTCAGCGTGGGGCCGTCAAGAGGTGCATCGGCTCTTGCCACGGGACTGGCAAGCGCCTTGTCAAAGATTTGAGTGATCCATGAGCTGGCATCCCACGTTTCGCGATGGATATGAAGGGCCATCTTACAGCTGGTAAGAGCAGACTTACCCAAACTTGCTGTCATCGAACTGCGGCTTCTGGACTGAACGAAGAAGACGACACATGCGATAAAGAGACCGTGAAACAGCTCATGTGGAGGGAAAAGCTCCTCGGAAGTCGTGACCATGGAACATGCGAGGGACGCAATTTGTTGTGCTGAAAGACTGGCGACTTCATCACCAAGCCAGGACGAGGGTGAGAGCGCATTGCTATTGTCCGCTGCAAACTCCGGTTTGATGTGTGTCAGGATGACGTTATGGTTGTACAATATGCAGAGTGTCGTCCGAAACACATCCGTATGCGTGCTGTCATTGTCTTTCCATTGGAGGGAGGCCGGCAGTTCGTTTCGCCAAAGCAATAGCAGCTCATGCAATATCGAGGGTGAGTTCGCGTCCTGACTCCGTGGATAGAAGCGCATCGTGACAATCTGACGAAGCAGGAGCGCCAGCTTAGCTACTTGGATGTGGTACAAGCCTGAAAGGCGAACATTATCAGATAAGAGGCGGTCGGGCACGGATGAGACCTCGTAGTCGAAATCTTCCAATGCCAACTCATCGATATCGCAATGGTCGAGGTTGATTCTGAACGGGCGTCCATGCATCGATGCGCAAGTGGCATCCCTCACAACCAGAGTCCACCACAACCTTTTCAGGAGGCTCCGGTCCTGAGGTGCAATGTTGAGTCCAGCCATGGACCTATGACAGCCAATAGTCTCAGCAATTGTAACTCCAGTAGATATCCAAGTGTAGAAGTTCCAATGGTTGTTCGGGCTGCCGCCCCAGAAGCTCAACATGATCGCTACTTGAAGTGTAACAATCTTTCTGCTGTCGTAGCCTATGTCAAAGAGCGCCTTGGCTTTGCTGTAAAATTGAGACCGTGCTTGTTTCCTGTCATCGAATCCGGCTCGATGCAGAATCCGCAGAGGACAGAACGTGGCAGCCAGAAAGCATATAGAGTGTAGAAGTATCCATGGTAGCTTCCGCTCTTTGTGATGCTGAAGGAATTCTTGCGGATTGACGATCGGATAGAAAGGGAACACTCGCTCCATGAAGACCGTGATGAGCATGTCCAGTGTTTCGTCAGGAGGTGCCATGAAGGCCTGTTTAGCTTCGAGGAATGAGATGTCTTCCGGAGGTACACCAGGAGGATGAGCTGTATGAGATGACAAAATAGGCGCACCAGAGGTAGGGGCAGGCCCAGAATGATGAAGCAAGGGACGTCCAGTGCCACTTCTCGAACCATCTAGAATGATACCGAGAGGGAAAGCTTCTCCAACATACGCAATCGAACATTTGTCGACGATGGCGTCTCTGTCTCTATGATCACGAGACTGGAGCAGGTTCTCAAAAACTGTCGACCAGCTCGCGTCACGGTGTCTCGAGTCGATACTGACATCGGTGGCTCCAGAAAGCATGTCATGTTGAGGCTGCACACTAGCCGGAGCTGTGCAAGAGCGGGCATGTTGAGCCTCTATTGCTGGAGCAGGGATCCGGACATTGGGCTCTTCCGATGCTGAGAGACTCCTTACACCGTCCGAATCACCGTTGAGGGGAGGTCTACTCGACTCAACCGCTGTACTGCGAGCGCGTGCTTGTTGGCGTCGTGGCTTCCGGACATAAATACCTCTTCGAGACTGTATTAATGTGCAATTGGATTCTCCCCTCTGCTCGCATCGAGTACAAGGCGTTCCGCGCTCGCTAGCATCGCACTTTACACGCTTCTCATTGCACAAGCGACATGCTTTGGCGGTGCGCACGCGAGCCTGGCGGCTCTCAGAGCCCGTCTTTGCTTCTGGCTGATCATTCCTTGGCGCTTGCGATGTCCGCAGTGAAGCAGCACTTGTCATTGTGGGCTATGGCCAGTCTGAGAGTGAGACATTAGTGAAATGTTACATTATGAGGCATGAGAGATCGAGCCGTCAAGAACCCGAAAGCATATAGCTGGATGCGCTAATTACATAAGCAGGATCTCCGGGTTTGCCCTCACACGATTCGTCTCATCAGCACGCAACGGAACTTCAAGCTGCGAAATTCTGTTAGCGCACTTTCCGCGCATACTGGTTGGTGAGGCCTTACATCAATACTGCGTGACAGTCGAGATGCACCTTCCTTGCCGGAGGCCGCATGACCTTTTGAGAGGCCTGCCGTTCGATCGAATCGATTTGCGGGAAGAGCAACAGTGCTGAACTTTGAGCTAACTGCCCATCTCTTTATGACTGTCAATCATTGCAATGCATTAGGCTAGGCCATTGGCAAGTGAAGCAGTGTCACAATTCAATCTGAAAGAGCAGTTATGGTACCAATCATTTTTATTGATGCTAAACTCTACAGAAAACGCCAGGCCATTCAAGAAACAAAACGAGCGTAATCCGAAAAGAAAAAGTAAATGTTTTTGTGCACTGGTCTGTACACTGTTGTCATTGCAGCGCATTCAAGCAGTGCGTCCACCGCTCCAGCCATCTCCCCATCAGCGGATAACACCGCTCAACCCATCAACATCCACCATTGTAGTAGCATCGATCGCAGAGTTCTCAGAAAATGGCACTTAGCGGTCTAAATACATTCAGATGGAGCAGCCGACATCGTAGGCCTTGAGGGCGTTCTTCTGAGCAGCGTTGGTAGGTGCAGGGACCTGAGCAGCAGCGACAGAATAGAGCTTGCAGACGACCTTATGGTCGACCTCGCCACAGGTGAAAGACTTGCAGGAGCTGTTAGCCTGACACTTGGCCTTGCACGCGTCCTCGGAGGTGACGGAAGGGGTTGAGATGGGCTGGTTGTTGATGCTGGCGCTGGGCTTGGTGCCGCAGGTGTTGGCCGAGGTGGAGGACGTGGAAGAGGACTCATTCTGGGTGTTGGTGTTGGAAGACTGCTTCTGGGTCGACCCCTTCTGGGTAGTCTCCTTCTGGGTAGTCTCCTTCTGGGTCGACTGCTTCTGGGTGCCGTAGTTGTTGTTGTTGTTGTTGCTGTCCCGGGCTTGTTTGAACTCAGCGGCCTTTTGGCCAGAGGTCCTGCTGGCGTCGGCCATCTTGGACTCCTGAGCCTTCTGCTCGGAGGCCTTGGAGCCAGAGTTCGAGTTGCTCTGGGTCTGGCTGTTGTCGACCTTCTTGCCAGTGGGGTTGCTGGAGGTAGGAACAACGCTTGGGACAGCAGAGCAGGCCTTATCGTAGACTACAAGGTTGGCGCTGGACTGAGTGGGAACAGCGGAGGCAGCGCAGGAGAAGAGCTTGCACTGGATGGTGTTGTCGACCAGGCCGAAGCAGAAAGACTTGCAGGAGCTTTTGGCCTCGCACTGAGACTGGCAGGCAGCTGAGGTCTGGATGCCAGAAGGCTGCGAGATGGGCTGGTTGTTGGTGTTGCTGCCACTAGGAGCGGCACCGCAGGTGTTACCGCGGACCATGAGAGGAGAGGCAGAGACATAGGTGGCCGCGAATGCAGCAATGACGGCAGTGGAGAAGTGCATTTTGATGGTTGGCTGGGAAGTTTGAAGGAAAGTGATTCTTAAGTGAGTGTGGGGAAGGAGGTAGAAGAGATGAGGGAAGAAGTAATGATTGATGCTGGATGATATGTATTTGCCTGAGGTATTGCTCGACTTAAATACCTGCGCCCACTGTCTTCCGCTCTCTCCTGAATTCTTGACAAGGTTTTGAAAACACTGCCGTTCCGCTCTCTCACCTCTCGATTGCAGCTTACGAAGTCTTCTCCACGCAACAACTGACGACGTGAAGTATCTCGGCCATGCCGCAGTGGAGTCAATGGTGTTGTGGCTTGCATCAGCGTGTTTGCGGCCATTGCACGTACCTACCTTATGACGATTTAGGGTAGGAAGAAGGCGCAGTCGTGATTTTACCTAATTTGGACGTTCAACATAGGTGTAGTTGTCACTCTGATGGTCCGTGGAACGCTAAAGTGAGACTTTTTGGCGTGAAACACTTTTGTGCAGGGTGAGGTAAGCTGTCCACGTATGCATCACGTGACGTCTCCATTCCCCACAAACTGACGAACATCGTCCATTTTGGGACCGTGAGAATGGGTTTCGGGACAGTTTTACGCTAATTCTAGACTTTACATGACAGCTGTCACACAATTATACCCAAAGTTGCGGATATGGCCCGTCATTTTGCCGCAAAGGATGGCGATCCCGGAACGACATCCAGCATTCCGGTGCTTCCCTGCCAGTGAGCAGTCGATCTAGATCTGCATGGAAAGATGGCCAAGCTCATCTGAAGAGTGCCGATGTCCCCACTCAAGCTGCTGTAAGGCTTGAAATATGGAAGGCCCGGCTCAATCCCGATTTACCAGACAGTGCGAAGTACACTGTCCTGTACTGAATACACCATGGTAGAGAAAAGCTTCCAAACAGGCCTTTCAGAAAGATTTGGTTGGATGTGTAATCATTGAATCTATCTACTGTGACGAACGTCGTGGATGTTATCCAGTAGTTTGACTCACCGCCTCTACCTAAGTGAGCAACAGCAAACCCTTCTGCTTTCTGCTTGAGCCTCGCAGCACAGACACTGTTATGACTCGTCTGAGTCTGTAGGTCCCTCAACAGGGGCTGAAGTCTGGCATCGTGAGGCACATGGACGGCAGACAGAAGACGCGCAACGCACTCGAACAGCAGTGGCTCGGCTCTTAACTTGAGCAGGACCGCGGCCTCTCATCTACCGTCCGAACCCCCATGCGCGATAAACTACTCTCACCACCGGCAGTATTGTCCAGCTCACAAGCTTTGCAACTGTTCCTGACATACCATCGAAGTCTAGATGTGGAAATGATGTTCCGCCTCTTTTGCGAACCCATGGAAACGCGCGATCAATCATGGCTTCCTTATACCGCCGACAAGCTTGTTCGATCTGCGATTCGGTGAGAGCGGTCTTGTTATCCAGCGACCGTGCAAAGTCGTTGAGAGCAAGGATCTCTGGCAGCATGTCGGCGGTTTTGTACAAGGATTGATTGCCGCCTTGGACACTGTGGTGAGCTGTCGAAATACTGTAGGCGCTTGTAGTGGGGAGACAGTGTGAATCCAAATGCAGAGGTGACGTGGAAGAAGAGGGGCATCAGTAAAGATAGACTGTGTCTGTGAGCGTGCCGACCGGATTCGCGTGCCGACCGCGATCACTAAAACACACCTATACTTCAATGCATAATATCTCACATGACAGGTATCAAAGAAGTGCATGATGAAATTGAAAGTTTGAAGCTAGGCAAAACACTTGTATACCAGATAATTGCAGATAAACATGGTGTTAATTGCACAACCTTGTTGTGGAAACACAAGCAGATACAAGCTGATTGAGAGACCAAGAATGCTAACCAGCAGAAGCTGACTCCACAACAGGAGGATGAGCTTGGCAAGTATATAGAAGAGCTTACTGCACTTGTTGCCTTACACCTACAAGGGAAATAATAGCAAGTTTTGCATTGTCAATAGCCATAGAGCCAGTCAGCAAGAGCTGGGTTACCCACTTCATCAACAACCACTTGATCTGTCTCATCTCTCAATACTCAATGGGTATGGACAGTAATTGCCACAATGCCAAATTGTACACCAAGTACAAGCTCTATTTCAACCTGTTGCAGTCCAAAATCACCCAATACAACGTTGATGCTGAGCACATGAAAAGGGCTTCATGATTGGAGTCACCACTAGGACCAAACATGTCTTCAGTAGATGTATGTGGGAGAAGAAGGAGGTTACAGCAACTACTCAAGATGGCAGCTGTGCCTGGGTGATGCTTATAGCATGTGTGTGGTGATGGATTGGCACTGCCATCAGGCCTCCTATACAAGTCTACCAACAACACCATACAGTTAAGCTGGGTGGAGGAAATCAAGAGATTGGTTCTCGGGGGTGAGCGGAGGTACAGGGAGTCCTGTTGAAGTTGTACTTTAAGCAAAGCTCGTAAGTACTATTTGATTGGTTCTCGAGGATGAGCTCTGGTTCTGGAACAGTAGGGGTAAGTTGCCTGGGTGAAACACCTAACGACAACTTGGGGGAACAATGAGTAGTACAGGCAATCTGTCTAGCTTGAAGGTTGGTTGAGATCCAATGACAAACTTGATTGACAAGGTTGAACACAAACCATAAGGGTTGTGTTCCTACTTGCTTATATACAGTCCACCAGATCTGCTTGTTGACAAGCAGAGTTGGTCCTGGCCAATCCGGATAGGTTGCGCCTTGTTGACAAGTATCGTATGATGCTCGTTGACGAGCATTGTGTCATGCTTGTTGACAAGCACTCACGTGACTGCTTGGCCAAGCATCCCTCAGGCATTGGCTGAGTGGCCTTGCCATGCTGCGCCTTCCCCCAGGCTTCTGTGTTTGGTTGGCGGTTACTTGTTACCCGTCGTCCTATTGCAGGATGTAGGATTGTAACAAGTCCGTAGGGGTTGACAGTCACCTAAGCAAGGCTCGGGTGGTCAGGGGTAGACTATCCAGGCGAGGCGGTAGTAGCCTTTGTAATAGTCAGGTAGTTGTCTAGTCAAAGACCGTGGCAACTGGTTGCAATGAGTAGTACAGAGTATACTGTCTGGCTCGAGAGCAAGTGAGATTCCAATAACAAAGTTGATTGACAAGGTTGAACACGATGCCATAAGGGCAGCGTGTCTACTTGCTATATTTACATGAGCAGAGGATTGCTTAGAGCGCTCGGTACTGAGTATACTGATCGTACCGAGTATACTGCCATCATAACATCCATCTCTTTAATGGCTTCCTCTAGCGTCATTGTGGCGTTGAGTTGGGGTGTTCTGAAGTATGGGTGCATAAAGCGTCTTGGCGCATTGCGCGCACAGGCACGGTACCGTGTCTGTGCGCACAACGATCATGTTGGTAAAACAACCGCGCTAGCGCCTTCACAGGCACCCACAAATGAAGCTGTACAACCACATACAATATATATTATTGTGAGATTTTTTGGTGTTGTAATCTGTAG